ACAAATAAATGCCCATTTATCTGTTACAAAATCTGATCTTGCTAAAACCTTACTACCACTTTACTCAGGCACCCCCACCAGGTCATGCAGTGCAAGGTCAAGGTCAACCACCGCAATACCAGCCTCAAGGTCAAGGCCAACCAGCTCAGTACCAGCCTCAATATTACCAGCCTGCCCATGGCCAGCAGCCCATTTACCAACCACCAGCATCTATGGGACAAACTATGGTAGTCCAAGGTGGCTTTGATCCTGGTGCTAGGTTTGGGCCTGGGACAACTGCTAACATCCCAGTAAGTCTTGTTTTCTGAATCTCAAAATTTGACCACTCCTTGGTATTCTGATATCATTTGTACGATGTAAAGTTTGTGTTAGGTTTTTAAGGTTGTTTTGACAGGACTTATTTTAAAACTTATTTGGAGTCTTTTACTTTCAAGAATGTTTAAATAATGTTCATGAGACCTTTTGTTTTTGTTTACTTAAAATAAAATGGGAAATTTTAAGCTATAGAAAAGTAAATTTTGCTTTGTCCATATTACTTAATATGGAAACTTGTCTGGCATTAATGATCTATTTATATCAAATGAGGCAACTGATATGCTTCAAACTTTTAAAGGCCAGGTGGATTAGATTTGATTGAATATTCACGATGCTTTTCTGATATGCACTTTTTCCTCTCTTTTTTTAGCCACCACCTCCTGGCTGTGCCCCAAATGCTGCCCAAATGGGAGCTCTGCAAGGACAAAATGTGATTGTTACTCAAAGGGAAGGAAACTGGTTTTCAGGGGGCTCTGATGGGGGCTACACAGTTTGGTAACAGATATTTATAGGCATGAGGAGTGAAAAGACAAAGAAGAGGAGAGGGACAGTGAATTCATTTTTTTGCTATTTTTTAGCTTTTGTATTTTATTTTTTTATGAGGGAAAGATAGGAACTGGTGCATTTTACATAAAAAAAACTCGAAATCTCTTCGATTTGGAGATATTTCTCATCTGCAGTAAGACTGGATGTTCTGAGGTACAGTGTTTGATGGTTATGTCGTCCTATAACTTATTCTGTATCATTGGGATTTCATATGCTGTACCCTTTTGAGGAGCCATTTGGCATGTCGGACAGAGTCAAATTATGTGTACTTAAGGGCCCAGTGAAAATAAAAGAGACTTCAATAACTGTGTTTTCATCTGTGGAATTTACACTAACTGTTCAATATGAAAAATTATGTTAACATATCAACAGGATATAGTTTTGTCTGAAACATGTGATATGAAGTGACAAACTACTCGAGCACTTACATATGTCCATCTGGTTGCATGTCAGTTATCTCTTACAACTGAAAGTAAAGCACTGTAGAATTTGGTCAGTAGGTAAGAGATGGGTAATTTCACCGACTTCAGAAATCGTGTAGAATGATGTCGGTGAAGAATAATGATAGATAAACTTACTCTGTGATTTTTTAAAATTATGTATGTAAATAATGATGTACGTTTGTTCAGCTCTAACAAAATATACTCAGCAAGGGAAGGCCAAGTCCAGATGATGGATTATAGATTGACTTATAGAAAAATCTAAGTGATGATTGATGAATTGATTGATTGGTCATTAGTAAATAGTCTTTCACAGGTGGTAAATTTTAGTGGTACAAACTTTCAAAACGAGTGGAGGGGGAGGGGTGCAGATTGGTTTTTTAAAACTCCTCAAATATTCTTTCATCAGAGTGTTGGTTTCATTGGTAAACTGACGTTGATTTAGAATTCTTTGTGTATATATGTCCTATGTAAATATATATAACCTAGACAAAAAACTAAATTATATCAGGATTATTCGAGAATTAAAAATTTTATGTGTATTTTATACCTTAAGGTTTGTGAAAGAGAAGTGATGTTGGAATTAGACCTAGCATTTGCTTGTGGCATGAATTAATATGGTAATTGATTCATCATTCATCATTACATGTAAATGTCATTCTCAGAATACCATAGAGTAGTCACCGTAAACAATGTATTGTATTCAGTGATGCCTTATATTTAGATGTTCATAATAAAGATATTTTACTAGAAAAAGATTTTTTAATTGATAAAAGGGTGCTTCAAAAAAAAATCCAGGCAATCTTAGTTCTTTTATTAGTTTTAATAGAGGTGACCAAGAAGGGGTGTTGGGAGAGGAGGGAATTTCCATTATTCAGAAAATGTTTTCCATATTTTGGTGTTCTAGCTGACACTCACAGACCCTTTTACTTTCTAAGCATGCTTAGAAAGTAAAAGTTTGGGTAGACGCAGCACCACCCCCCCCCCCCCCCGACCACCTACCCAACACACCTACACACACACCAGGGCCGTAGCCTGAGCAAAATGCCAGGGGGGGCAGTAAGCGGACACGAGGGGGCGAAACCCCCGAGGGGGGAGGGTGTAGGAGGGGGTGTCTCCCTCCCACGGTGTGGAAAAATTTTNTGCGTTTTTTTTTTTTTCCCCCCCTTTTCCCGGGGGGGGGGGGGGGGCCCCCCCCCCCCCCCCCCCCCCCCCCCCCCGGAGGCTACGGCCCTGCACACACACACACACACACACACACTCCCCATCCAACACGCACACACACCGGTAATTGAACTGGAGTCACTCTGTTAATGCCATTCATAAACTTGAAACGAGAATTTTCAGCCGTATCGCGCATGTGTAATATACAGATCGTGACAAGTCCTGACAGGTAGGCCATATAGTGTGTCCAAATCTGGGTCCGTGACGTTGGTCACGTCGACCTTCACTTTTGTTTTCAAGGTGACCTTGTCGGACATTACGCAACTGCGCACGCGCAATAAGATGGATTTCCCCACTGACATGCTATTTTTAGTATGTCTGGTTGCGGAAACGTGCTTACGTTTTCTCTGAAAAGCGGCAAGCTCGTTTATATGTTTCGTCAGCGGTGTTACACAAGCCATTTATTGAGAAGAAATCGGGACGACTAGTTTGAAGAGTGACTATACAACTAGAAGGATATTGGTCGATCAGTTGGAAGAAAAGTTTAATTAATATTTTAATTGCAAGATTACTTTTTTAATAGTGAAAAATAAGCAAACGGAATGGCCGTAGCTGGATTAAGACTTATGTATCACGGTCTCAGTCAGCCGGGGGTGATGTCTAAACTCACTCATCATGGTGCTGATATCGGCGTTAGCGCAGTGAAGACGGCAGTGACGAGAACTTGGGCACTGGTAAGTGATTTGCAGTGCTTTTAATTTCTGACTTTGTAACTAATCTGTAGCTTATACGTACGTGTAGGATCTTGTGTTATTTTATTCAGATTGCAAAGTATGCGTGTTAAGCCTTTAGGGTTGTTAATGTACACACATTGGTCAGTTTTGGTTATAGAATAATAGCGATAATAATTGTCGGCTGCAGATTCCTGATAAACATGTTATGACGTCCGTCTGCATGCTATACGTTCGGACGCGCTGACCCGGATCGACGACAGGTTAGACTGTTGAGCTTTAGGTAGTTTAATTCCTCTATCCGGTATCAGAATATTTCACCTGTGCGTCATATACGGCGCCGTAGACACATGACTCCGGAAAACGGATATGACTACTGTATGTAACAATAATGAAAACGGACGTAAAAATTGATGTAAAATAAAAAAATAGTGACATTTTATATTACACCATCTCTGGCAAGTAAATGCTTTCCGAAGTAACATAAATTATGGTTTATTCTCCCGTTGTGTAAGGCAGTGCAAACGTATCGATCTTATGGCGTTTGTACCAGTATTGACTTTGCGATAATGAAATTGTAGGCTGACGTCATTGCCAAGATGATCATAATAAATCTACTTAATGATATAACATGATAATTACATAATCATCTGGATAACGTTTCACTTATGTCATATGCATTATTAAAACGCGGAGGACAACAGCCTAATGTATCCACAATTTTTTTCTCATTATTTAAACTTACCTTTGGTAAAAGATTTATTTGTATGTAAAGCTAGAATTTGATCTCAAAGAAAATACTAAACAGATAATTTTTTTTGATATTCTTTTACAAATATATACATTTCTTTTTTTCCTCCATATTAATGTTTTACCATTAAATTCGTCATGTAAGGTATTCTTTTTGTATTTTTTTTTTACTTATATAGTAAATGACATATTAATTACAGCAATTTCCCAAAAGATTGAACTCCACCCAGGCATACAACTCACAGGTGAAGGAAAACTACGCAAAAGAGGCTGAGAACAAAATAAACAAAACAAACAAAATAAACGAGGTCCCACAGTTGCAAAGCATAGATCACTTCAGGTAATAGCTTAACAAAATTAGTAACTAGATTTATGCATGTTGGATAACTAGTATTTAACATTGTAAATCCTGTCACTTTGCCAAATATTTAATTCAGAGAAGAAGAGATCCTATTCATTTAATTTTCCTTTTATATTTTTATAAATTAACTATGGGCCATTGGAATTTATACTCATTTTGAAACATTTGTTTCATTGTAGATCAAGTAAGGCACAAAAACAAGGCAAAGACAATGGAGCTTATATATTACCTCACCCTATATGGTATGTACATACTAGTAGTTGCATGTAATTATAGATGTTGGTAATTATTGGTCAAGGGTCTAACCCTTTATTTATTGGTTAACCAACACTGTCTTAATACTAGGAACTATATGCTAATTTATTTTTCGTATTGTCATGCTGACAAAACAGCTGCTGCTCGTGAAGATCTTGAAAGGTCAAAATGTAAATGGTATGAATTACATGAAGATAAGGGTATTTTTGGAACCCTGTGAACAATATTTAACCTTAGTGTAACTGTTTTTGATTAACAAAAACCCTTACCTGATTATGTGCATGGATGATTTTCTTATCAACCCTATTATTTTAATTCCAGGAGTGAGGAAGAGCTAAATTCAGTGGAAATAACACACAGGGTGCCAGAGAATTTTACAGACAAGGTACGGACTTTGTTTGAACTTTGATATCTTTTCTTACCAACTCATATTCACTGAAGTTTTAGTGAAAGTTATATCTTACTTTAAACAAAAGTTAACATTTGGGAGCCAAATATATTTATCAGTAAAGCTCTTTATTATTATTATTCCAGGCTGCATTTTACAGTGTGAAAATTCTACGAAACAGCTTTGACATTTTCTCTGGCTTCAACTGGAGAAAGAGATCAGAGAAACAGTGGCTGCGACGTATTATTTTCCTGGAAACTGTTGCCGGGGTACCAGGCATGATGGCTGCTATGGTGAGGCATCTGAATTCCTTGAGAAGGATGCAGCGAGATCATGGATGGATACACACACTATTAGGTAGGTTGAAAACAATACATATAATGTTCTTTCTTGTCCAAAGGTAGAATTTTATTTCTTTATTTTATTTTATTATTTATTTATTTTATTTATTATTATTATTATTAATATTATTATTATTATTATTATTATTTTATTTTATTTTTTTTTTTTTTGTGGACAATATCATGTTGATGTTTTCAGGCATGTGTATATGTGTTAAATGTTATGGTTGACCTCTAATTATTTTAGCTTTGATTTTTTTTACTTTTGTCAAAGCCTCAGAGGGTAAGTTTTAATCTTTATTTAATCATAATTTCTCATTACAGAGGAGGCAGAGAATGAGAGAATGCACCTTATGACAGCTCTACAGATAAGAAAACCAGGACTTGCTTTTAGAGGGTGTGTCCTTTTAGCTCAAGGTAAGTTTTCAGAAACTTTTCTAACGTCTTCTATCAGGAACATTTTTTACAATTTTTAAATAGTTTACTTGTTCATTTTGAATGGGGTCCACCTGTTAAAAACCACAGGATCTTACTCTGTTATTTGCATTAAAGTTGTACAGCAATAATGTTGGTTCCATTTTGTTGGAAAGGGTGTGGGGGCCAAAAAAAAATAATAAAGTAAAATAACGAATTAAATTACCATTAAGAAAGTCTTCAATTTGTGTCTCTTTCCCCAGTCCAAAACCTCAATAAAAGACTGAATTGTGTGACCCTGTAATGTATTCAATTGTGTGAAGATTGGATCAGCATTTATTCAGATACGGTATCTTTGATTTCTTGTATTTTTGATTTCAGGAGTCTTTGTGAATGTGTTCTTTTTGTCCTACCTAATCAGTCCATATTTCTGCCATCGGTTTGTGGGATATCTGGAGGAAGAAGCTGTGAAAACTTACACAAAATGTTTACAGGTATGGCAAGTCTCATTTCTCACAAATTACCACATCTCAACACAAGAAAACTTCAAACCTCTATCACACCTAACACAATTATCCCATCTCAACACAAATGGGTTTATAACAATTATATTACACCACACCAATCTTTTTGTATAAATTGTGATGCATACACTATATGTACTCAAAAGAAAAAGGTAAAACTTGGTGTATATTTTTCTAGTTATGAGCAAAGCAGGTAACTGTTCCCGTTTTGTTTCAGGACATAGACAGTGGTTCTCTACCTTGGAAAAATTCACCTGCACCACCCATCGCAAAAGATTACTGGCAATTACCGGTGGGTATTTTTTTCACTCCATTTATTTTATTTTTTTTCTTTTTGATTTTAATTTAAAGTTAATATTAAGTGATATGTCAGTGAGATTAAAAAAAAAAGTAAATTACTATATTTATTTATTTTTTGAAAAAATGAGAATAAAGTGAAAAACTTGCATGAAACATTTTTCAAAAAAACATGCCTTAGAAGTTAACACTTTGGTTATTCGCTTCACTTGTCTTGTTCCTATTCCAGCCAGATGCCATGATGCGTGATGTCATATTAGCCATCAGAGCAGACGAAGCACATCACCGTGTCGTGAACCACACTTTGGGCTCTTTGAAGGAGGACGAACCTAACCCATATGGACCTGGCAGATAGGGGGGAGGGTTCAAAAGAAAGACTCCTCAAAAACCATAAGATCAAAATATGAATTGATCAAATGTAAAAAACGATCAGTGCATCTGACCTGGCACACAATACTTACATGTAAGCCACTGATGTGCAAAGCATGTGACAGTGGTGATAGGTTGAGTCAGAGGAGGCCCTCTTTTCATTTTATGTATCCCCAGATCGAGTAGATTTCCTGTGATAGATCATAGGTGTGGTGCAGATCTATCAAGTAGAACATGGTTTGCCTTGTCTGGACTGGGGGATTTAGACTTAAAAGAACCACTTGGAAAACAGTTCAGAATTGTTGCTCATTTTAAAATATGCTGAAGCTATGTCGAATGGCTTCTAATATTTTACCTCATTTCGGCACATCATGGTGCCACATCACTGCCTGTGGGGAATGGGAAGTTATTGGGAGAGGTGGAATAGTTACTCTGCTTTGATCACCCAGGCCCGTAGCCAGGGGGGGGGGGGGGGGGGGGTTGGGGGGGTTTGNTGTACATATTCTGTATACCATCTTAAAACTAAGCTTCCAGCTGTAAATTGGCTAATCTGTCTTCTACAATAAAACTGTCACTTAGTGTAAACTTCTTTGACAACAAATTATATATTGATCTATTAAAACTCCAGATAAGAAAGAAAGATGAGACCATTAAAAATATGCATTGAATCATATAGGCCCGTAGCCAGGGGGGGCGGGGAGTTCGAAAGAACCCCCCTTTTTGCTGGAAAAAGGTCCACTCTGGGTAAAATTTGACCTAGGTACATGGGGATTATATGGTAAAAGGTCCACTTTTTCAGAAAAAGAACCCCCCTTTGAAATTGCTGGCTACGGGCCTGTGACACCTCTTGACTAACAACTTTTACCCATGGTTCTTCATGGTTTTTGTTCTGGTGCTCCCTCAAAAAAGAACTTGGACTAAGTAAAAGTGACAAATGTTCTTCATTGTGTGATACAATTTGCATTATTTTGATGTGTTACCAGGGCAGTATCAGTGGTTAAGCATAATGTACACATTTATCTTCTCATTTTTTGCCTTGAGTTGCACTTTCTGGTGGTGACATACAGGCACGTTTTTTATATGTAGCGCTTTACAAATATTGCTCAAAACATTTAGAATCTCGTGTCACATTTAATATGTAGAATTTTATTTATTGAGAAACTTATCAGTTTTAAATATTGTTGTCATATACAGAATGTATGTATGTATGTTTGTGCAATTGTATTCAGAATGTGACTTGGATTCTAATTTAACTTAATGGTATATAATTTATCTCTCTGTCTGTCATTATTATTAATATTTCAATAACATGTATTTTTAGACTGAAAATATTGAATATAGCATTTCCTATAAACCAGAAACATTTTGTGAAGTCATTAAGTCAAGAGCGGTTTCCTTCATCATCAAAATGGAATTTCAATTCCTTAATTTTAAATACATAAATATTTTCTAGGCCAATTCTTAATGGTCCCCACCTACTCCTTTGTCACGTTTTTTGCATTTTTAAGCCTGCATGTGTGACCTCAAATTTCTTTTTCACAACTAATGACATTTAAAGGTTTTTCACTTGGCATGTTTGTGTTATAATCATCAACAACACATCTTGCATGATTTTGATACTTCCCATATCCCTGCACCTTTAAACAAAAATCTCAAACTTGCTTCCTGATACTTGCCACTGCCCTTTAACAATAACATATCCATCTGAAATTTAAGATGTCCACAACCACGAAAATGACTGCATGGGCATCAATTGTCTGTATAGTAATTAAGATACGTAATTTTATAGTCACAAAAATTATTTTTCTTTGTAGCATTTGGAGTGCTTTTGCTTTACCGAACAGAACTATAGAGCAGCTTGCTTTTTCATTTGTCAATATCAATATTTGGATAAAGTAAAGCTCAACCACCTTCAGTGGGATTTCAAAACAAACAACAACCAAAGATTTGGGTGAAAAGAAAATTTAATCATCTCTAATTCTGTCACGAAATACATACATGTACATCATAAATGCAAGTAACAATGCCAGGCTGTTAGAACTACAAATGTATAACTGTTGATTAGTCGAAATGGATATAATCTCTGCTATCACTTCCATTACTGGGCAACCATTCCCTTCTTTATGTCAAAGGACTACGTCTTGCCATTAATCCATGGAACAAGGAAGAGTCCATTTCAACACTTGAGGGGTGCACCATTAGTATAATCATGGTTGAGTATAATTATGGTTAATATTTAATACATTCATATGCACAATGGGCCACAGCTTTCATACAGGAAAACTTCCAAAAAAAGATCCCTTATTGGCCTATCCATAATATGTAAAATGGATCTCACAAATATGTCTGACTCAACGCCATTGGCAAGGAAATAACTAGTAAAACATTGCAACATTGAAATACATCTTAAATAATAACCTTCATCAAACAATTACATCCAAAAAGTAGGACCATAACATGAATATAAACCATATCTACAAACTTCACAAAACCTGCAAATGAACAGGGTCTCCAAAAGTCTTTGCATCATCACCACTCAGATTACAATGTTGCATTGATAGAATGTCTAAAAAGCAAACCAGAGCTAAGCCAGTTCCAATTTTCTGTGTGCGTGTCCACAACATTTTAACACTCATTCCTTTCAATGATGCACAGACTTTTCAAGTTCCCTGTACACAAAACAAGTAAATCAGACTCCACATTAGAAATGGACAACAGTTGCAAATTCTCCAAACCCTGCAGTACAAGCAGCATCGAGGGAATTTACAGTCAAATAGACGCCATACCACACTTGATGAGGAAGCCTCACAAATGTCAGTTTAGCAAAGAGTGAACTGGGTTGGGCACCTTAAAAGCACATCCAACAGATGATTTCCTAATCTTGTCAGTTAAACGTGTGGATTGTTCATTTAATGGCTACACGTTTTGGCAATTTGGGCCCTTGTGGCTGTTTATGCTTGGAAGAGTTAGAATGGTCTTCTCTTTCTCATAAAACAAATCCATGCCAAATCCAACATCTCCTTGTACTCAACCCTATTTTATAATTCCATTTCAACTCTGGCAAATCAATGTATAATTTTGTAATTAACTATTCTATCAAATAAGTCCAAATCACACCGGGGAGAAAAAGAGTAATACACAGAGCACTTTCCTCCTATTCAATCCTCAAGATAGTCATTAATTCACTCCTCTTACTCTAAACAGCTGTTCTACTTGTGATCTCTGGTGTGCAAGAGCTTTATAAGTTCATATAAGTGAATATCATTAACAAAAGAGACTTAAATGCATCACAACACACAATCTGCCTTTCATCAGCACGGCTTATATTTGATTAACAGACAGTTAACAAACTTGGTTGTTATTCCTACTTCTATTCAGTACAGAGTAGACATTCATTCGAGAGGATTAGTATGGTCCTATAATGTCTAATAATGTCTACAACAACAACACACGGGGTCATGCCCTTGGCAGACAGAGGTAGTACTCAGTCCAATTGACGTCTTGAATGAAATATAGATGTCACCGTGAGAATGACAGTTCAACATGAGCTCACAGTTGTGCACTCTTAAGTCTAAGTAGATCGTCAACAGTGCATTAAAACCATGTCATCTGTGGGACTGATGTGTTCCTCGTCTGCCAAGGGCTCAAAGGTTAGGACACTTTGTCAAAGCGGCCAATCAAAATACAGTGGATATAATGGTCGCACAAAGAAGAAACAAGAGGAAGAACATTATCGTACTGGAAATTCTTCATGTGAACAGAAACCTTAGAAAAAGTTAGATTCAGAAAATAAGAAAAAGTTGAATTCAGAAAATACATGGGACTTAACTGCAGAATAGGTAAACTGTGAAAATTGAAGAAGGTAGCCAAATGAACCAGAGATGTTAACAGTGTAATTGCAATCAAGTGAAAGTACCGATGAACGATTTTCCTGACATGTGCATACTGTTCTCTAACACTGGAGAGCAGCCGTCTAGAAACACTGGCTAAGACCCACCACACGGAGGCTGCGTAAGCCCAGCAGATATCAGACAGGTGTGCTCCAATGTGAGAGATGACTTTGTCTACACAGGGTATAGGACACCTGGCAATCTCTGACAGTAACTGTTTATAGCCATTAATATGTAAATTCAAATCCAAATCTGGTGTAGTATCATCCTCCCCCTGATTGGAGGAAATTGTATTTCTGCAGTCTATTATACTATAATAATTGTTAGTGTAAGTAGCTCTTGGTGTGTACTGTGCACTCTGAACGTTGCGTCTCCGTTCTAGTAGTAGGTTTCTTGTTCTATGAATCCCCCTGGGCTTCGACGCATGAAAAAACGACGAGCTTCGTCGTAGATCCAGATGGCGGCGCTGAAAGGGAATGCTGGGAGCCACCACATGAAGCTGAAATCGGAAGAAAAAGTTTCAAAAGAAAAGACAGAAAACAAATGCATCATACAATATAAATTATTATTTAAAAGGATTCTGTGAATATTTGTAGTGTTTATCCTGTATATGGTACCCTAAGAACTATTAAACTCTAATATTACTCATCAATATTACTCAACAGGAGAAAACATACACCGAATGAAGAAAGTAAAAACCATATAAGACCCACGTCTAAAACATTACTTACCGAAGGGGGAACATGCGTAAACCCTTGTCTAAACCCGGACAATAGCTGAGGAAAGCGGCGAGGCAGGTCTCGAAGAAAAGGGCAAACGTCATGTAGTGGTTGCTGTAAAATACAGAAAAACAACACATCAGTATTAGATATTTATTACAATGTATATGTACCAAATATAATCACTGCATTGAAATAATAAAATTTAAAGGAAAAAAAAATCTGACGTTTGCACAAGCCATTATTGACATTTGAAACAATTCTTCTCACAAAGTGATCAAATTAAAAAAAAAAAAACTATTCATTATTTTTTAAATAACTATTTATGGCCTGGCACTTTCTACACATCCCAATATCTTCCAACACCCCAGCCACTTGCACTCACCTCATGCCTTGTTCCACGATGGAGTTTCTCCTGGTTTTACAGATGATCAGATCAGCCCACTGCACTATGACAATGGTGATGAAGAAAGCAGTGTGGCACGTGTACTCCAGCATCTTCCTCTGGGCGTAGGTCTGGCCAGTGAAAAAAAGTTGTAAAATATCAAATAACCCTTGCATTGTGGCATACATATAGCAATGAAGTATAATTTATTCCATAACCCATAAACAACATACAATGGCATAAATCTAGACTGATAAAGAACTCCTTCTCGTAAACCAGAAGAAAATAGCACACTGTAGCAATATGTAATCTGGCACACAACCTATGCAAAACGGCACAGGTATGGACATAACATGATTTCCAATCAAAAGAAATGCAAATAATTTATTTACTATTTGCCAGACACACATGCAAGGCAACACAATGCAATGCCTCAAAAGACATCCTATATTTTCAATGACAGCTGGATGGCTGGTGAAATTTTTGGGGAATAACAGTATATCTGTAGTTAGACTCTCTGTTAATGGGTGACCAAATTACAGATCAACATTTTGGACTCCCAATCCTGGGGAGGCCCTTGATCACAATGAACTTAAAAGGTGTCACTGACCCACTCCTGTCCATAGGAGTCCTCCAGGTCGTTGATGCTCTTGGAGTCCCACTCCTTACGGATGCCAATCAGGTGGTTGGGCCAGAACCCATTCTCTCCCATGATGACAAAGTAGGTGAAGAAGCCAGCTGAGGCCTGCATCATACCAATCTGACCATAGGCCATACTGATCAACCTGAGAAATAATGGGACATTTTTTTTTGTTAAATGCTGGTCCATACTGTTTCATATCTATAATTCAATGTCCACAATATTTATTTATTTTGTATTATTAATCTTAAGTCTATTTTTTTAAACATAATTCCTCATTATCTTTTTAACTATTTTACATGCCTATCCACATTGTATTCCCCTTATCAAGTCTATTCATAATCTTCTCTCTTTTTTTATTCTCCATTATTAATGTCAATTCTTCTATTTTCAAACCCCTATGAATAACCTGAGAGAAAAGAAAACCTTTGATTCTGCCAAAACGGCACTGATCAAACCTCACCTCTGGTTGACAAGCTTGTCGTGCTTGGGATCACGAGGCTGACGTTTCATGATGTCACTCTCTGCTTTCTCGTAGGCAAGGGAGATAGCTGGCACCTGGGGGTGAAGAATGAATACTTTTTTTAAGGGGGGAAAAATGAATAATCATTTATGTCAAAGACTTATATAGAATCATCACTCGGGAAGTCCTCGTTTTGCACTGTCACATTCACATATCCCAATACAAATAGTGCATTTTAACCATAATGATATAAAAAGTTAAAAGTTTGAATAGAAACACTGCAAAGTTTATGATAGTTGACCTGCAGGTGTACTTTCACTCCTCATGATGTGCTTATTTTTATGAAAATGCAAAAGATGGCGATGATGTGCCTTAAACTCTTCATCCATTGTTTCTGACCAACCACTGAAAAACCACACAGCCCCACTCACCATGTCAGTACCCAAGTCAATACACAGGATGGTAATAGTACCCAGAGGTAGAGGGATATCCAAACAGATGAAGAACAGGAAGGGGGTGATCTCGGGAATGTTAGAGGTTAGAGTGTATGCGATGGACTTCTTCAAGTTGTCAAAGATCAGTCTTCCTTCCTCCACGCCTGTGACAATGGAGGCAAAGTTGTCGTCCAGCAGAACCATGTCAGCGGCCTGCTTACTGACGTCACTGCCGGCAATACCCATGGCAACACCTAATAGAAAGATAAAACGTACATGGTTCATAGAATGGTAGAAAACAACTTATGCCAAAATACAGTCTAAACTTAAACTTTTTGGCTTATTTGATCCAGATTATAGGTCTGACCTTACTCTTTGTCAAAAAGGCCCCACACCTTCATTTTACTTGACTACTAATGATTTATCCAAGGTCATATTTGACAAATGAATAATTGAGCCCTTAGCATAAGACCAAGTCTGGACAAGAGATCTTTTGTGAAACTGGACCCAAATCCAGCTTCCAGTCACTCACCAATATCAGCCTTCTTCAGGGCGGGAGAGTCGTTGACACCATCCCCTGTCACGGCCACAATGGCGCCTTGGCGCTGACAACCTTCCACAATGATCAGCTTCTGCTGGGGTGAGGTACGGGCAAACACAATCTCCGTGTGGTTGCGCAGGATCTCGTCGATCTGGAATGGGGTCATGTCTCTCAGGTCCATACCATGGACGACACAGGCCTTGGCACGGCTGGAAGTACAGATTAAAACAGATGTGAAAATGGAACGGTATGCTACATGTTGCATCTTTAGAAATTAAGTCAAGGTATGGTAACCATTGCAAACGCTAAGTTACTCAGTGCAACTGGAGAGAGAGAGAGAGAGAGAGAGAGAGAGAGAGGGAGAGAGAGAGAGAGCGAGAGAGCTTGCATGAGTGAATAAGGCAGGGGAAACCATAAATCTGATATCACAATCACATGCCAAAATTTACAGAATACTGCAGAGGTTTCAGTAAAATTTTATTTGAAGATTTATACTCACTTCAAAGAAATCACTTTCACAAAGCTAAATTCCAACCTACCTTGGGTCCACCTCACTGACTGGGATTCCTTCACGTGCTGCAATGTCTTCCACAGTCTCGTTGCCTTCAGAGATGATACCGACACCCTTGGCGATGGCCTTGGCTGTGATAGGATGGTCACCTGTCACCATGATAACCTAGAATACAAGACAAGAAGACATGGTATTTTGGCCGTCTTATTGCACCTGCCAGTGAATTTTAGATCCTCTCATACAGAACCTGTTAGTGTCGTTTACATTTCCTCATTTAAAACCTGCTAGTGTTGTTAAGATCTATAGGAGCAACAATATAGACATAAAGCTGTTGACCACCAAGAAATGTGTACAGCTCTAGCTCCAGCTCTCGCAATGCATACAAACTCAGGAAATATCAGGAGTATTGAAGAGACTGTGAATAATATTGGACATACCATGGGAAACTGAATAACTGTCTATGTCCTTAAAACAAAGCATGAACGAACTTATTGACAACTTCAATCATAAAACAGAAGCCATTCTGAAAAAAACCATTCATTAGAAAGACAACAACAGTATCCAAAACTGTTCGATTACAGCCAGTCATTGTTGCATGAAGTCTCAAATATTCATGCTCCTTCTGGTGTCGACACATAGCAATTCCACTAATAAATACTACACCAAGTTTTGAAAACTGAAACTAGCTGAGCATCCAACATGGACTGACCTTAATACCAGCACTACGGCACTTTCCTACGGCGTCTGGCACGGCTGCACGTGGGGGATCAATCATGGACATGAGGCCAATGAAACGCAGGCCAGTCAGGGGGAAGTTGGGGTCATCGCTGTCAAATGCATACCCTGGTGGGAACTTGTCGCCTGGCAAAAAGTAGTCACAGAAACCTGGAACAAAAACAATGCTTGTATTGTACTGTATTGTACAGATTCAATATAAATTGTTCCCTAACAGTATATAACGTCGATGAAAAATGGAACATAAAGTATCATGACTAAAATTGCTGGGGCAGGGCTCAGAGTTCTAACCTGGCTGACGATGCATGATTTCATTCATTCTCTCTCTCTCTGGCAAAGTTTCTGACTGATAACACTAAACACTTTGGCTAATATTAACCAGCTTCTTGCCTAAAATAGAAGAATAGATGGTGGACGTACCGAGAACTCTTTCTCCCAGACCTCCCAACTCCAGGTAAGCCTGGTTGAAGTCTTCTTTCTTCTGGTCGTCCAAGGGTACTTCTTCACCGTTGATCATGATGGTAGTGCAGCGGTCCAGGATACGCTCAGGAGCTCCCTTCATCACCAGTATGTAGCGAGGATCATCTGGGTCAGAGGTCTCGTGGATTGACACCTTGAATAGAGGGTAAGAATATTATACAACTTAATTAGAGCAGTGGAATATAAGATAGCTAAAAAAGAGCACTGGAATATTACAGAACTAAAATAGAACAGATTAAAATACTACATTTCAGTCCGAGGACAAAGCATTTGCACAGTGTATAAGGCAACTAGAATGTGACATCAAAACAACACATTTGCCAACTTTAACAGAACATTAGGTTACAGAACTTAATAAGTAGGTATTACAATCCTGTATAGGAAGTCTAGAATTAGAATCTAGAAGCTTACAGCGAATTAGACACCTAGAAAACAGGACCTGAAATGATAGACTTCCCTATCCTCCTCCAGCACCTAAGCCTGTTCACCTCATATACAAACTCTCATTACTGCAACACAAAGAGCTTACCTGGTACTTGTTGGAAGAGTTGAAGGGAATCTCGCAAACTTTTGGGTTCTTCTCTCTGAACTCCGTCACTCCTCCAACGGACAGTTCCACACACTTCAGCAGGGCAGACTCGGAGGCATCGCCATTACATTCTCTGGAATTGGAGAAACATATCTTGTCAGTCTAAGCTCTTATACAGAATGTCATTTTTGTAACAACTAAAACATATACAACCTAAATTTTATTCACGAGAGAGAGAAATTTCTGTGCAAAACTATTCCACTGCTTTGACATACCTCTTCAGCACAGGTTTCTCCTCCTCTCCAACCTTGAAAGATGCTCTGTTACACAACATGGCCACTCTGCTGAGGGACGTCCAAGTTGGGGTGTCTTTGTTGTAGGTGGCGCCTGAATTGACAAGTTAAATGTTTAAATCTTACTTAACAGCACTGAAAACATATGATTAGGAGACGGAAGTAAAAGGAAGGGTAGTCAGCATTCTCTACTAGCCAAGATATTCACAATGAAAAGCATCTACAATACAGAGCAGGCAGCAACTAATTTGCACCTTGGGAAATAGTGTTTTCATTAAGTTAATATTGCCAATCTGGCCTTTCCCTGAACGGAGAGGATAGCAGTAATTGTTAGCAATCTTTTCCTTCAAATATACATTAAAAAACCTTTTTAAACATGTACTACTATGCAAATAAAATTTACTACAATTACTGAAACATAAAAATAAAACAAGAGCAAAGACTAACTTAAATATCATAAGACATTATTTACTGCAAGTATAAAAGGTGGGGTGCACAAAAAGGGACAACTTTCCAATAAAATTTAATTTCTCCTTGGACATATGATAAAAAGTGTAGGTCTTAGGTATGCAATATACTGGGCAGGTGGTGCAGGCAATCTGTAGGTTTCATATACAATGCAGTCTTCCATTCACCCCCCCCCTCCCCCTGCCCCAATATATACACACCCAAAATCAGTGCATGTTAAATACATACTCTCAGAAAACTAAGAAGTGAAACAGCTATTGGAAATTGCATTTATGTTTTCAAATACAAATAAATGGAATGAAATGGGATCAGTGCTGGCAATCAGAAGGGTGGTGTCCCAAAGTATGCCCTAGCAGGCACTTACTTCCTGTTCCTGTATAGCACATAAAGCAGGGATGCAAAAGGCATGTTAAGTAGGTTTTAAGTAGACACATTTTAACTATCAAGCTACTAATGCGGTGAAATCCAGCCATCTAAATTTCTACCATCAGTGTTTTGAAGAATTATAATCATTTAAATCATTATGTATACTGCAACAATCCATAAAATCATCTTCAGTACTAGAATTGTATCAACTACCTCAGTTTACTCAATATTTAAAAGTTGTGTATCTTGCAAACATGCACATCACACAAGAATTTGAGTCACACCACGCCTGCATGGTTTATTCTCAACATCTGATTCAGTCTAGTACAAGTGAGATACACCACTTGCTAACAAAGTGTTTGACATATACTCAAGCTTGGCAGTTACACACACCACATTACATCTCCCACTGTCTGGTTGTGTAACCTATTCCACCCACTCGTGTTTTATTCACTAAATTTCTGAACTTGTATTCACAATATACTACACTTACTGGACTGGTCATCGCTGGTGTCGGCCTCCACAATCCTGTCATCAAACCACATGTGGGCCACAGTCATCCTGTTCTGGGTCAGCGTACCAGTCTTGTCGGAGCAGATGGTGGAGGTGGAGCCCAGGGTTTCCACGGCTTCCAGGTTCTTCACAAGGCAGTTCTTATTGGCCATACGCTTAGCTGTCAGTGTCAGGCACACCTGAAGATATACATAATTATACTTATTACATATCAAATGGTCACTGTGGGTTATATACTCTTAGCTGTCATAGCCAGGCAAACCTAAAAAGCTACTGTTATTTAATTTCCCAGGAAGGGTATAAAAAATAAATAAATAAAAAACAATATCTATTGCTTTATATGTAGACTTTAAACTTGAAGCCAACTTCCAAGGGAACTTCAACTGAAATAGGTTGGCAGTTATTGGTCTCAAGTCTTTTCTTATGATGTGATCTGTACCATAATCCAGACAAAGGCAAAGCACACACATGCCACGCTTGCACATGCAAACACTTAAAATAAACATGTGCCATATTTTTTATTTGCCCAGAGTAAACCATTTCACTTTTAAATGCCCCCTTACCGTAACAGTAGCCAGGAGTCCTTCTGGCACGTTGGCCACAATGATACCAATGAGGAAGATCACAGCGTCCAGCCAGTAGTAGCCCAAGATGAAAGCAATGATGAAGAAGGAGACTCCGAGGAAGACCGCCACACCGGTGATGATGTGGATGAAATGCTCGATCTCGCGGGCAATGGGGGTCTCTCCCATCTCCAGTCCAGAGGCCAGGTTGGCAATACGTCCCATGACAGTGCGGTCACCAATGGAGACAACAATACCAGTGCAGGTGCCTGAAGTTGACAACACATAAAAACCTCTGCCAGCTAACATCTGGGTCTTACAGTACACTAATTACTCCAAGTCTTCAAACACCCTATTTGTCTTACAAGCAACTCAACAAGCCAAACTGAATTTCATGTAATATATCACTTACATAAAATGGCCAGTTGATGAAATGTATACTGCTTTCAATCATTCACTCTACTTGACACATAATGAAGTTTAAGTTTCAACACGTACTCAATTTTTATTATAACTGTAAATGTTACAACAATTTGCTTCCATTCAACGTGGGAAGCTGCCACATGGGGCAACTGTCCTGCACATACTCCTTACCTTCCACGGCATTGGTGGAGAAGAAGGCCAGGTTCCTAGTTTCCAAAGGGTTCTCGCTGGTGAATTCTGGCAGTCTGGTCTGAGGCTCAGACTCTCCTGTCAGGGAGGAGTTGTCCACCTAGAGAAAGATGCACAAGGTCAAGATATTTCCAATATTATCATACACCCATTTCACAATCGGGTGTATCATTTTAAACTGAAGAATATCGCAACCAATGTATAAATATCAGTTTCATTTGCACTAATTTATGCCATCTCTTCCTATGCAAGTTTTAAAATCTCACAAGGTACTGAAAATCAGATCAAGATATCTACAAACAAAAAAGTGCTGTTCTAAAATTCTAAATATACTAAAAATCATCTCCCCCCCCTTACAGAGTGAAAATTTACAAGAATTGAACAACTGCTACTATTTTGATAAAAAAAAAAAAAAAATAATAATAAAAAATTAAAGTCTTGGGCACAATTTCAGTGAGTAAACAGTACCTAAAGTTGTTTTAATCTCATCACTGTAACGTCACTGATTTTATCAAAACAATAATCACCTTGAATCCATGCGCCTTGATAACCCGAATATCTGCGGGAACCCTGTCCCCAAACTTCACCTCAATGATGTCACCAACAACCAAGGTCTCGGCGCGAACTTCTATCAGCTGACCGTCACGCTTCACCAGAGCATACTGATGAAATACAATACTTATTACCAATTTGTTCCTGAACAAGTTTAATTATCTTCTTTATGTTACTGACACTTCTTTATCAGAGTAGTTATTTTTATTTATTAAACTTCAAATGATTTTTTTTTTCGTCCAAGATTTAAAATAAAGAATTTAAATTTACGTAATTCTAAAAAATAGATGTTACAACAAAAATTGGATACTCGGAGGAAAGTACAAGAAATCAACTGGATCCATCAAACTTCACAGCACAAAGTGTGCATAACTCTGGATGTGCATCTTATGTGGAATATGAATATTTCTATGATGAAATTGAAAAAAAAATATGAAAGAATGCCAAATTGAAAGTAAAAGGTAAAAAGAGCTTGAATAGAAAAATGCAATCGAAATGAAACAAGAATGATGTTATGAAACATATGAAAAATGAAAGGAAAATATAGAGCCCAAAAAGTAACCTGTGATTTGAACATAAGATCTTCAATATGCAAAATAGCAACTGGATCAATAATAACTGAAGAATAACTGCCCAGGGAGACCAATTCTTTTGAAGAACTCTTCAACAGGCAAAGAATAAAATGCCACCTACCTTTGATCTAATGTAAGTTCCAACAAACATGTCCCCACTTTCAGTTTTTTAAAGGATTATAAGGTGTTAACACTTCAACATGTTGAAATTTATAAATGGTGGTTAAGATAGGAACATCAATAACAGCAATAAGCATTCCAAGATCAACAACGGTAATATCAAACATTAAAAAACCATAATATGTTTTTTGCTCATCTAGTACACATTAGTTCTTAGAATGAACTCTGTAACTGCTAAAACGTATCCAACTTAGGCACCTGGGAAACCTGGCCCTACCTTAGTCTGCATCTTCATGAAAGACTCCATGATCTTAGAACTCTTTGATTCTTGATAATACCCAAACACTCCCGTGATTAAGACTACAGTTGAGAGAACTAAACCTAGGTAGAGCTATAGGGGAAAGTGAGAGAGAGAAAGGAAATATATTTTAGCTAAGCAGTTTAAAAATTATGCTGCACACATAAGCATACGGAAATAAAATGTCACTAGAAAACATAGACTTCTGATGTTGAAGATTTATAGGCAATACAGAAGCATAAAAGAAGGAAAAGAAAGAATAGTTCACACACAAATCCAATCAAATTGCCATTTACATCCTTGTGATCAGATACCACGGTTTGCCAACTGCAGTTAGTGTAAAATCACATGCATTTGCAATCCATATAACATAGAAGACAGGGTATGCAAAAAGGATGCACACCTAGAAGTCTCACAAACAGGAGAGAACAAAGCAAGCAGTCACTGAGAACAACAACTCTCAAAATTTACCATCTACAATTTTTGCACAATACTCAGCTTGCCATTTGAGAAAACAGTCAGCGGAATTAAAATAACTGTGACACAGACTCACAAGATGCACTCAAACAGAAAAAAATTCCACATTTTTTACATAAAATATCTAAAATTTAGTACACACAATCCACCAAAAAATCCACTTTTTAACCCAAAAATTAGTTCTCTAATTTAACACAGGATAATAATGAATGGGAAAACATGTCCACACAAGTCCACTCTTGTCACCTGCGGCAGCATCTCGGCAAACGACTCCATAATCTTAGAGCTCTTGGCCTCTTGGTAATACGAAAAGACACCCGTCACCACAACCACACCTGTTAGCACGCACCCCAGGTACAGCTGCACGCGCACAAACCACGATGCACATTTGTAGGGCACAAGCAAGGGATGGCAGCAACATGGAGGGAGGAGAGGTAATGGAATAGGTTAGTACATATAACAAGATTCTCATCCTGAAAGTTTTGTTAAACTTGTCACACACACAAGTTGACATTGTCAAAGTCTTGACTGCATTCTTGGAGTCCTGTCCCTTGTCAAATGACATGCTAAGGTGAACTGCAGAAGGAGAGAGAAAGCTTGAAAGTGGCACGTTATCTACAGCAATGTCTAGCTACTATACAGGCACATATAGACAGATATATCTTTCTACATATCTATACTACTGTGTGCATTACAATGGCAGTAAAAACACCTTTAGTCACTGGATACAGAAGTAGATCTACATACGAGAGTAAAATTCTGCAAATGATACAGTAATATCATCTTACAATCTCTACACTATCCAGTGACTTAAAGTGATGAAGCCCACTTATTAATCAATATATCATACACGTACAGTCTAATCACAGGTCAGCACTCTATGCGTGTACAGACAGGCTGCATGGGCTAAAGAAAACCAGATTGTTAGTGCTGGATTATTAAAAGGTGCAGTCTAACTACAGCAGAACCCCAGGTGGGTTACAGTGAAGTCACAATTAAGCATACAGATAAACCTGAAACAGAGAATTTACTAGTACATAAGCCATACACAGGACAACTTACTTCTACCATCCACTTGATATCCCAATATGTTCATTATATATTAAATACACAGTATTTCAATCCCTTCACATACAGGCATGTTTGACATAAATGTCTGTGGTTTTTTCTTACCTTCACTACTGTGGTGAATGACTTCCTTCATGCTTGACTGTCACCTCTAGACTATGACAATACTTTACATATGATGTAGCACAATTTTTGTGCTTTGAGTGGAGATAATGATGAACATCAAAGATGATGAGCATGGCAACAAATGCCAATACAACATGGAGGAGAGAGTGTGATAATGAGATGATGAAGAAATGACTAGGACTATGAAAATCAACATACAGAGGTAATTCACAACAAAGCAACTGGGAGTGGTAATATAACTTAGATAATACAAAGAATGAAGACCTGAGCAGTTTCCATCTTTTTTTAAATATAATTTTTGTCAAGCATCAAACTAGACAAGAAGCCAGGGTGAATGAAGTGCAGAGTTAAAGACATGATGAGACATTTAAAAAGGTCCTGGGTGGGTTATAAGCAGCTTAAATATAGCAGCATTTAGCCAGTCTGTAGCTAAATAAATATAATACATGAGAAAGCCATAACATGCACTCTTGCTTCCTCAATACAGTTAAACATGCAGTTATTTTGTTTTTATTTGTGCTTGTGTTTTTTATTTCACAGTGTATACAACATCATGGGATCCATAAACCATTCACTGTTGTACAATATCCAAACTGGGAAAATCTGATATGAAAATTACAAAATCCACTGGTTTGCCAAGAAAGATAAAAAAGTGCAAGTAAGATTAAGACTGTGAAAAGGGAAAATCGATAAAAGGAATCTTTGGAGACAAAAAAGAAAAGTGCAGAAAAATTTGTGCAAGTTAATTGAAAAGTTGGTTGACAAATCTGGTGCAGAGAGTTTTCTTTTCAATGAGCTGGCTACAGCCTTCAGGTCTGCGACCTTGAGGGTCATGACCTTGACTTTTGTTCACCTGAGGTATCATCTCCTTGAACGAGTCCATGATGCGAGAACTCTTGGCCTCCTGGTAGTATGAGAAACATCCGGTCACCACGACAACAGCCGTTAACACTATACCTAGGTATAACTGGGAGGAAACAAAATGGAGGAGCACAGGTTAAATTCTGAATTTTTTTCAAATGCTATTTTGAGGTTTTTCCTATTACTTTCTTCAGTAACTTATTAACATCCAATCCGCATTCATTGCCTCCCTTGTTTCAGTTATGAAACGTTTTATCTGAAAGAAATGTATCTGGAATTGTTTGTAGGGCATTCGGAAAAAAAAAACCTCCTGAACATTCTTTACATTGAGATATTCTTGCTTCTTTCTTTCTTCCTTTTTTTTCATATTCACTATTTTGTGAAACAACCTAGCCTGGTGATGTGTGTAATATGAATTTTCCTGTATCTTCATGTGATATGTTAATTTTAGTTGTCTGTATTCCCTGCTTAATCCCAGGGTCACTTTAGGGTAGGAAGTTTTAGCCAAGTGCTTAAAAAAATTTGATACTGGTTAAAGAATAAGTTTTTTTTTTTAATTTAACTTTACCTACTTTATCATTGATCAAGTTAAAATTTTTGATTTGAATAAAAAAAATCAGCTTTTGGCAATTGCATTCTTACCCTAGAGTAAACTCAGACATCTAACACATAAGAAGCATCAGTTATACACATATGCCAACAATCCATATCCTTCTACACTCTGAAACTTGGCAGTAAAAGCATGCAGGCTATGGCAGTAAAATACAAACAGCCCAGTTAATAAAAGCACTGAGCAGGTATGTTTAAAAATAAAAATAAAAAAGTTACCATCCACTTGCAGTTCAGTCAATAGTACATTTCCCTGACCTCAAATAATACTAATAATTGCTTTCAAATTTTCCGGAGACACATACAGAAAACATGGAATGCTCATCAAAGCAGCTTTTCTGATGAAAATATAATAATATATACACACTCAACACATGCACCTGAAATCGAAAAGCCTCTCAGCACTAATAATGTATCTAATCTACAATCGACCGAAAGGTTTTCTTTTCTCTGCCACACTTGCTGAAAAGCCAAAGCAATAAGCTGAAAATCAAAAAGCCATTGGTTAACTTGTTAACTATGCCAGCCAACATGCTACATGTATAGCATCTCATGCCATGCATGATCCTCTTGCATTGCACTGCCCCCTGGTGGCAGTCAGTGGCACTGATGAAGAAAAGTCAGACTTGAAAAAGGTGGTAGTCCGACTCACAAGTCTGTGCTGGTGAATGATAAGGGATGACCATGGGAGGAGAATCAATCTCCTCAACAAACACCTAAAAGCGAACTCCATATTGAAGGATTGTTGTTGTTGTTTATGGGGTTTATTTATAAATGAATAAATATTGTGTTGTGTTTTTTCCTCTCGCCATCATCACCTGAGGTATCATTTCTTTGAAGGAGTCCATGATCCTGGCGCTCTTGGCCTCCTGGTAGTAGGAGAAGCAGCCTGTGACCAGCACCACGGCCGTCAACACTATACCTAGATACAACTACAATGCAAAGGTTAGTTAAAACAGATGTGAATGCACCCACTGTGGACAATGACACTCTCAATATCAGCAAACAATAAAAATACTAAATAATTTACAATTGTGAATTGCTTTAGGAATAATATTTCGTTCAAATAGTAATTGATAAAGACATCATTCCTTCCACTACAGTGAACATGATCACTCACATAAGACCACGTGACTTCTTTTAAAAATTTGCTGAAACTTGAAGATTGCAGTCAAATCAGGTGCTAAAAGTGCCATCAATTCTGACAATGGCATTTCAAATTTCTTAAACCTGTGACCAAATTCAGCACAGGCAGGGGAACAAACTGGGACAACAACATAAAAATTTGCTGGAGAGAAATTTCTTGTCATTTGTCACAACATTACAACAAATTAATTCTACACAATCAAAATCTTGTCACATTTAATCTAAACAACTTGCAATAATTATTTCATAATTGACCTACAAGAGCTTTATTAACATTACTTTGATATATTGCAGCAAAAAATTCTATAACACATATAAATTGTATTATGCAAAACTAAGTATAATTTGTATTTATCAGTGTACTCACGTTATCTCCAGGTGGTATGTCATACTGTGTGCTCTGGATGGAGTAGGCAATAAAACACAGAATGGCTCCAATCCACAGCAGCAGGGCGAACCCTCCAAACAGCTGCTTACAGAACTTCACCCACTCCGGGGTAGTCTTGGGGGGAGACAGCTCATTGGGGCCGTCACGCTCCAGGTACTCCTTGGCACGTTCAGAAGTGTGACCCTATATTTTTTTTAAACAAGAGATTACAGGGCGGAGTTTAAATCTGGGCGATCCTATTTTAATGAATCTGTGTCTCATTACAAAAATAATGCCACTTACACAGAAACTTTTTATTTAATTTTGAATTCTGGGTGTGTTGTATTGCAGATGCATACAGAGCAAGTCAACTTACTCAATATATTTCTCATGCTTCCAAGATGCAAATTTCATTGACTAAGCTGGAAAATAATTGGCTAGGGACCAAAACGCAAGTTTTTTTTTTATCACTGAACATCGTTTTTACATCCATAAACACGTTCATAACTCACATTGTTTGGATCTGCACCTAGCCTGTCATATAGCTCTTCTATGGATATCCTGTGTTCATCCTAAAATCAACAAAACACTCTTTATCAACACCTAATATAATATTCTCACCAGGGGTGATAAACTGAATTATTATTATATAGCTTATGGCATCTTAATAACTGCATTGTGATCTTCAGGTGGTTTCTTGGCTACGATACACAAGGTGTTTCATAAAAACTGAATGATACACTTAATTCCTCATTTCTCTTTCATGTACTGATATAACAAGCACGCCACACCATAAAAGAAACATTAGCAATATTCATTTAGAATTGTGCCCCATACCTTACCAATTGACAATCAATATGCACAACTTACTCCAGGGATGAGACAGACATTTACTGGAAAAGTCAAAACATATGGCATGGGGTCCAAGGAGCCCCCAATGCTGATGATACTTTTGGCTCCTAAAAAGTCAGAAATCTGCCCATAACCAGAAAAATCTCATCCCTGTTGTAAAAAACACCACTGGTACAAGATTTCAAATCTTTAAACAGATGAATACTACAGATACTCACCATCTCCAATTCCTGCTTCAGTTCCTCCATGTCCTGCTTCTTCCCCTTCTTCCCTTTCTTCTTCCCGCTCTTGCCAGAGGTGCTGAGCGCAGTCGGGTCCTTCTCAGCATCCGCCTGCTTGACAGCAAAGCGGTAACTGTCGGACCTCTCAGTATCATCCTGAAATATTCACAAAAGACATTAATATCATTACTCCTATGACTCTTTATATTTTCTTTATTTCTTTTTTTTTCAATGGTAAAATAAGCTGTCAGAGCTTTCAATGTTATAACGATGGCAAGGTCATTACAACACAAAAAGTTTCTTTCACTGCATTATCCTGGAAAAAATAGAAAAATTATCAGTACTTCTTCTTAATCCTTCATTTCAGTGGAATAACTGAATTCTACATTTGAAAAATTAAATGTTGAATGGTTAAGCTGAGCTCTTGTAAGCAGTCAGAATTTTGCTAGTCTGCAGAAGCATACAAATTGTGGACCTTGATACACTCTAGTAAGAAGAGATGTTAGCTCGTCTACGAACTGTTATCATGCCATCATTGATCTTAAAACTAATCTCAATCTGAAGTTCACCTTGTAGAGCTGTGAAGTGTTAGTGGCAGCGCCCAGGAATTCTAATGAATTGCATCAATGAGAGGCTTAATAAAAATGCAATGATCCATTCTCAAACTCAGCCAAGTGCTATAAATGAAGGCGAATATGCTCAGAAACTGACAGGCCTGTCGATAACAGGAATATGACTTGGCAACAACAGCTCGCTTTCAATAGCACTAACCACAACTTCTATTCAAAATTGCTGTATGAATTATATAACAAAGTTAAATGAGGATTAAGCACTGGCTGGAATTAGTTACCTTGCTTATAAGATCACATAGTCAAACTGCAGATCAGTTTTTTTCTTATTTTTTTAAAGGCTGTATGATTTAGTCAATGAATTGTGCCTACTTATCCAACATTCATTTGCCAGAACTGGAATAATTCGACCTAACATGTTATCAATTCATTGATTACATAAACAGACTGTTGATCATCCAAAACTGCCCAAACAACATACTAACTTAACAGGCAAAAAGAAGAATCTCACTAGTACTCTCATTTTCAAGTTAGAATGTTTTAATTTCCATTTCCATTCCTGCCTTTGAAACTGCTGTTCATCTGCAATTTTGTTCCCTCACCAAGGAGGCTGGGCTGTGGTAAGAACTTCAAATTGCAGATCTATATTCTTATTGACTAATATCATCAACACGAGGCACCATGAAAAGCTTGGTAAGGTGAATAACTAAGCACATAATGCTTACGGTTCAAAAAAGAAAAAAAGAAAAAATCTTTGATCCCTAGCTTAACTTTGAACATTTTATATGATATCAAACTTCTTTCAAAACCTTGATTCCACATAAAAAGGAAATATTCTAAAAAGTGGAAATGAAAACACTGCCAACATACTAGTAAGCACTCAGACCTTTGAATTTTATGATAATCAAAGCTTTCAGATGCTAAAAGGGTGGATTCAATGCTACTTACTAAACATCTAATATAAGCATTTTGTGATGTACAGAGAATTAATTTCCTTTATTTAAATTCTCTTTCAAGTCATACTGCACATCACACAAACATTAAAGAAAACAGACATATAATTATCTGATCATATAGAATAAAATCCTTAAATGAAGCCAAAAAGGTATCATGGAATACTAATTTACAAACTAACACACACGTGACGGTGCCTCATCCTAGCATGTTTTTTTCTTCTCGTCTGCAGACACTGTTCAAACTCCAGTGCCTTGTCTTACATCCTGTCCCAAAAATGAGGATGTTGCATGTTCAATGATAATAAAAAAAGTAATAAAGTACAATGAAAATGGGTCAAAATGGATGAATTAACTCAACAAGCATAGTCAAGATAGATCAGAAAAATACTACTTAAGGTCATGTCCTTTAAGCTAACTAAAACTTATTTCATACACAAAGAATGAAAAAAAAATTTGAATCATGATATGCCAACAAATTTATCTGTTGGCAGGGTGTGTGTGTGTGTGTGTGTGGGGGGGGGGGGGGGGGTTAATTTAAAAATAAAAAGCACATCTTCATCACCCCACCCCAATATCCAACTAAACCTTCATATCTTTCAAGGATGAGTACTGACTAACTTTAGTACTCAATCCAACTTTGCTCTACAGGAGTGCACACATATCAGATCTCTCAGATTACTAAAACATCAGGAATGATGTGTGGGTCTAAATATATCAAAGAAACAAGAGAAATGTTTTAACCTTGTTATGAACTATGCCAGACAGATAGTTAGTATATTGACCTTTGTTATGTATACAAATAACAAAAGTAAATCTGTATAGGGTTGGTATAGCAACTTTTTTACTTAGTAGCCAAATCACTACTTTCTCATCACTTTCTTCTTGCCAAACAATTCAAATCAACCCTATTTTGTTTAGCGAATTTAAGTCAGTTTTAGCATTTGGCAAAACTGACAAGTGTTTGCGTTACCCCAGTCTGTAAAGACACGTTTTCTTGAAATAACATTTAAGCCTCACTAATGCAATTTTATATGGCTTATGCCCAAGGGGATATTGCTTAACTCTCTCAGACAGATAAAAAACTTGAAGTAATTAAGAAAACAGAACACAATTCTCAACTCCCGTCTTTTGTTCCAATCAGGATACAAACCTAATTACTCTCAGACTTCTCAAAGGGCTTCGTTAAAGTTTCATGAGAAGGGTTTTGGCAGAAGTGCCCACCACAAGAACCGATCATAACGATATACAGTATATATGCTTATCAGACCCGAGTGGTACTGCATTATGATTTTACTGGCAATAACAGATAAGTAGACGATAAGCATTTTTTTTCCTTTTTTTTTTTTTTTAGATCACCTTGTGAAGGAACTGGACTTCTTGCTATACAACACAATTTTCTAAAAATGCTTTGCTATATTGTTATATAGATAACTCAGCAAGCGACTGTTGGTACAATCTTGAACAGAAATATCTCCTTCCTATATTGATAATCCATGGCATATGTACATACTGATTACTAACCAGGCTTCTCCATTGATCTTGTTGTAATCAACAGCAATTGATCACAAACCTCATGGGCAAAATTTTTCTTCCCCAAAACCCAATAAACAGATTTCTTTATTCTCTCTATCAAAAAGAAGAAATTTTTGAGGTTCTAATGAATTTTAATCAAAATTTTATTTGCCAAACAGTGATGATGAAATTACCATAACAATTCAATATAAAATTCTTTATGTAAGAAATACCCTTACTTGTACTGAAATTTAAGTAAGAGTAAATGCATTTCAAGGCTTTACATGGCTAACCTAATTTAAGTCCAGCAATGCAGAAAGGGCAGATACCAATTTGCGTTCTGTTAAATTACATAAATTACATAAGATGACTTTCTACCTTATTTTTAGCTGGAAAGCAGTATAATATTCTATGATTTCCACTTCTGACCTAAGAAAACTAAGAAACAATGTACATACTACCTCTAGATGCATAAAACTCCTGTTGGAGTTTTTCTATCCAATTTCAGGTTATTTCCCAAACAGTGGCTTAAGTGAGGAAGATCAAAAGATAATTTGCTTACTTCAAAAGAGAGGATTTATAAATGCTGTAATGTGTTTAAGTAATGTGAAATAGCCTAGGGCTGCATCTCTAAGTAAAAATTGCAAAAGAGAGATAGCATGCGCCAGGCACATGCTGCTTATAGGATGGGTTCTTAGGCATTGCGCAATCCCAAGATTTCAGCTTCTTCCAGCAAAGGGAATATATATCAATCTCTTTAGAATTGCAACCTTCTCATCTGCCATATGACTTTAAAAACCTGAAAATTATATCTTATCCTATTCTACAATTTAACAGATGTTCCAACTGATATTTTTGATCACTTTCCTAAAATAAGGTCACAGCATTTTATGTTACCTGGGGAGGCTGCAATCTTTAAAACAGATAAATTACAGAGGAATTTCAAATGCACTACACATAAAACACATTAAATTTGCCATCTTAATATTAAAAAGCAATGGTAGTAACAGTTATATAAATAAGTGCTATAGTTAAACAAACATTCCAGACATTAATGAAGCATGATCTCAACGACCTTGACGACAAAATTTGAATGATATCCGCCATCGACTGAGTGATAATGCATGCAGTGGGTTTGTTTGCTTAACAAACTTGCACCACCGTTGCATATATGTAAGACAGAATTTGGAAATACCTATCAGTTAGACTTATTACATACTTAATTTTGAGTTAATGTATAGAAGATATCCTTGATATATCAATTTAAATTATTATTTTAAGACATCTTACCTGCTGCTGCGCCTGCAACTTCTTCGACGCCATCTTGATAGGAGGGCTTTCGCAAGTTTAGCCGCTTTACCACGTGACCTGCCAATCAAATTGTTCACCTTTGTCCCAGATATTCGTACAGCGTCAAATGTCACTTAAATGTAATTTCTGACTATATCTGGTGTCAGGAAAGTGTAATTTTTGGGCTTTTGTTGAAAAAGTTCTGTAGATGCATTACTCCGTTCATGCAATAAAGTAGAAATAGCGTGTGAATTTAAATTCCATTACTAGGTCAAATAACGGTCAAAGTTCATTGCTAATCTCGTCCTTTCTCGTATTGTAAAGATGGCTTCTAAAGAAAACGTGACTGAGGGATGGGAGAAGTGGAAAATTGCACTTGCAGTAGGCGCTCCTATTGCCCTTGGTCTTGCAGGATTGTGGTACTATAACAGAGTCAAATCGAGTAATCTGGAGACTAAAAAGAAAGATATTGAATCAGGAGAAAAGAAAGAAGAGCAACCGGAGGCGAAGGCAGCAGAGCCACAGGTCTGATGCAAAGCATTTGCACTCATACAGCGATTAAAAGCCCCACTATAAACTGGAAATTGTTTCAGCATGAATGTTATTTAGTGATTTCTAATTTATATTAATTTGATGAAATTGACATTGGTATGCCGTAATAAACACCAATGTTATTAGTGAGTGACTGACTGAGTTGATAAAATTTTCGTCTAGTTGTATACACCGGTTGTACTTGAGTCTTGACTTTAGTAAATGAAATTTAGCAAAGAGAAATTAAGTTAAGTGCCACATGTATTATTGGCTACGGAAAATGTTTACTAGCTAACTGCTTTTGCCTAAGTTGTCATTAATCCACTTCTCTTTTTTTTAAATATATTTTTACTTAAATTATCTAGTCACGGGACTAGCATTTGCTGCCTTTGTAAGATTTTAAATACATCTTGAACTTTAATTCAAAGTTTCATATGGTGTTGCAGTCGAAACTCTAGCTGGTTGTCATTATACTGTTATGTGCACCAGTTATGAGCACAAATATTACATATCAGAGACGATAAATAGGAGTGCTACCTTGTGAAAATTAAAGCTTATGTAAAAAGTGCTGCCAGTCATCTACTGTTAGCAAGAGATATTTGTATAAATGCCCTATATTTCCTTGTAAATTATGGTATGAATCTCTTTTAACATTTTTTAACACTTGTTTTCTTTTATAGACACCAGTAGAACAAGCCCAGGCTGCCAAAAACAAAGGAAACAAGTGGTTCAAAGGTGGAAAATATGACCAAGCAATCCAGTGTTATACAGAAGCTATCAAGTTAGTATACCTTGATGGGTTTTTGTAGATTTTCAAGGGCTTTGGCGATAAAAGACAAATAAATAAACACATAAATGGACTATATACTCCATTCTTTGTAAGAAGCTCTTCGATAATGAGCGAGTTCTTTAAGACTGCACCCCATATTCTTTTCATTAACATGTCTAATAAAGCAGAAGTTGGTATACTGTATACACATGTATATACGTGTAATTATGGACGTGAATTATTTTTTATATCCTAGAATATGTCCTCCTGAAAATAAACAGGATATTTCCACTTTCTACCAAAACAGAGCTGCAGCACATGAACAGTTGGTAAGTCTGTGATATGTATGTTTATGTATGTAGCCAAAAATTTATATCAAATCATATTTGTACCTTCCACAAATACATACAACAGAATTAAGTTTTAAAAAGTTAGAATGCATGCAAAATTACATAACAGTTAACACATGCACTCTCAAAAACGTGCACGTTCACTTAGTTTATGCAGTGGGACAAATTTTGAATTGGAAATTTAAGCATGGCTTTATAAAAGTCCATGAGACATAAGCGTAAAAAAAAAAAATTAAACTTTTCCCATATTAAATACTTTTATGTGTATGAATGTTCTCCAAGCAGAGCTGCAATTGGTGTTATTGGGGAACTTTTGGAATATACTCTTTCTTTTTATTAGAAAAATTTCACAGAGGTGATAGCTGACTGCTCCAAGGCTCTAGAGTTCAATACCAGATACACCAAGGCAATGTTTAGGAGAGCTAAGGCATGTGAGCATATAGGGGATCTGCAGCAGTGCCTAGAAGGTAAATTATTATATATATTAAACAATTGGAATATTGTGTCTGTTTTACCTGAACTACTACAATGTTCAGGTGTGCTATCTCAACTACTGCAATGTTTGTGACAGGTGACTCTGTGAAATTTGCTGTTGGAGATTTTGGAACAAGAGGAGACGTTGATATTTGTACTCGTATCTCTTTATTCTGTATTGAAGTAATTTGACTTGATGTAGACGGAGATAATTTCGGAGATTAGAGATAGTGTTGGACATAATGGTTCAAATAAGTTTGTGTCCTCTAAATGTACCATCTTAAATCTCCCCACTTACGCACTTGTCTACTGTACTGCAAAAAAGTTTTCTACTCAAGTGTGCTTGGCTAAGTAGATGTGTAAGTAACAGAAGGGGTGCAAGGTTGGCCTAAGAGAAGAGACTGTCTGTCCTTTACAATGTTGAAATATGTAATCTCAACTCTGGCAATGTTGGAACATGTCATCATTCTTATCCCAACTTTCGCAAACAGATTTTTGTCAAATTTTAGCATCTCCTAGTAAAGATATTATCATTTCCAGTTCCTTTCTTCTTTATTACATTGTTGTCGTATTGCTTGGCCTTTCTTTCTGAAGAAATAATGAATTACTGTTGATTTATTAATCCTGTAAGTTTGGTTTTCTTGGTTTCTTCCAGATGTGACTGCTGTATGTATATTAGAAGGTTTTCAGAATCAGCAGAGTTTAATGATGGCAGATAGAGTATTAAAAGATTTGGGCAAATCCAAAGCTAAAGAAGCATACAAGGTATGGTTGCATTTTAGCTGCAACAAGTTTCTTTGTGAGATTTCAACTAACTCTTTAAGCATATTATAATGTCTGATTGGGCTGTTTCAAAAGAATGATGGAAATATAATGAAAGTGGAAATTTAATTGCTTGTTTAACTTAGTTTGTTAAGAGTTTGTTAAGAGTTTGTTGGATGAATTTTTTATTTATAGGCAAAAATTACTTCTTTCAGTAACTGAGTTTAGTATCAAAATTATTTTTCAGAATCGTAAAGAGACAACACCCTCACATAGTTTCCTTAGGACATATTTCTCTGCATTTGCTAATGATCCAATCATAAGTAACCTTAATGAGGTGAATGAAGAGAGCCCTGAAACTGTTGAAGCTGAAAGTGAGGCTGAGAAGTACCAGGATGAGTCACCAGAAAAAGAAATGAAGGACGGGCTTCCAGGGAAATCCAGGTCTCAATTCAGGTGGGTTGGAAGTCGGATTTCTTTGTTCAGCATAGCTTGAGCGTGTCAGACTTTGGTTGAAAATTTAGGACTCCTTTATAATTAAAGAAAGCAGAAAAAATTAATTTTCGGACTCACTTATGATAAAAGAAAGTAGGTAGATTTAACTACTTATGAGTAAATTTTGTGCTAGTTCAAATAATTGTGGAGAATTGAGCACATTTCATGATCCACCTTCACCTATCAAAAAAGCTAAATTTATGAAGTGTTTTGTCTACAAAATGCTGAATCCTTCCCTGCTTTGTCTTCTAGTCCATTCCTGAAAGCCAAGAAACAGTTGGCCAAGAAAGAATATGATAATGTGATAGAGCTGTGCACCCAGGAGATCAGCAATTCCACATCCAAGTATTTACCTGAAGCCCTCCTGCTGCGGGCAACATTTTATCTGCTGGCTGGACGAGGGACAAAAGCCATTGATGATTTAAACCAGGTCATAGGCCTTGAGGATGTTGATAAAAAGGTAAGGTTCTATACATGGGTATATGATTCTGTTCAGGTTTTCCTATATTTTTTTTATTTATTTGAAAAAAGAATGGGGAAATTGTCTGTAATTGTAGACAAAGTTTTACATCCTTAATTAATATCCGTTTAATATGTTTCCATTTTCTACTGAAAATGTCCATATTTGGAAGTGTTTAACCCATTGCCTAGCCAAACTTTAGAATTGTTCCTCTTGATAGTTAATAATTTTTTTCATGTGATTTGTTATTTCAGATAAAGTCTAATGCTCTGATCAAGAGGGGTAGCCTGAAACTTCAGCTTGGGGAGCAGACAGAGGCCCTTGACGACATGGCGACTGCAGTGAGGGTGGATCCTGAAAACTCCGACATATATCATCACAGAGGGCAGGTTAGTTACAGATAAAAGTGCCCCAATTAATAAGGTGTTCTGTTTATACCCTTCAGACCCCCCCCATATGGAACTGTACACCTTTTCCAAAGCTTTTTTGTGAGGTCCACTTTCATCTCATCAGAGTCAGACTGTTTAAATTCATTTATAAAAAATATATATATATATTTATTCCTAAAATAAATTGTGACAGTTGTGGTTTTTACAAGTTACGTTTTGATATTTTGTGATAAAGGTTAAGTGCCCCTTCTTTTTATTTCCATTTCAGCTGAATCTTCTGTTAGATCGCATGGATGATGCACTTAGAGATTTTGACAAGTGTGTGGCCCTTAACCCAGAGTTTGCTGTTGCACATGCTCAGAAATGTTACGCAGGTATGTGCCAGGACCCCCTTTCTACTTCTCTAACCTCTTCCATCTATAATCCTTGCATTTCCTGATTTTTCAATTAAAGGCATGCTCAGATGTGTGAAAATGTAAACTGGTGTAATTTAATATGCTGCTTTGATATGATATTTTTTTATCGTAGAATACAGACATGCCTTTGACCAGCGCAGTCCCATGCAGCTGCAGAGCTCTGTCAGGTCATTTGAGGACCTCCTGAAGAGGTTTCCCGACTGCGCTGAAGCCTTTGCTTTATATGGCCAGGTTAGTATGAAAACGCCCCTTCTATAGGTATTGAGTTTCAGACGGAACGTTTAGGTCTTGCATCTGCATAAGTCCCTTAGATTGAAGTAACTGTCATTCAAAACCATTGGCCTTTTTGAAAAAAATTTTAACAGGCTCAATATGATATGGGACACTACTTGGTCAAACTTATTTTTATGAAAACAGACCAGTATGCATGTATTTCCTCCCGGCCTGCCTCCCACTACCCATATGGACATGTTTATATGATGTACTAATGTCTTCAGAAAGTTATTAACTAGCAATGCATATATATATATATATATCCACATTCAAGTAACAGTTCAATGCTGATATGTCTTTGTTGCCGTAAAAATACAATGATGTCGGTGATACATCATTGTTGTAATGTTGATAATTGCAACAAAACCAGCGCTGCATATCGTGGTGTCTACATTCTGTTGTCCTTCCAGGCCCTGTGTGACCAGCAGCAGTTTGACCAGGCAGATGACCAGTTCAAGAAAGCCATCAAAATAGAACCAGATAATGCAAATGTTTATGTACACAGAGGGTAAGGGACAGGTTCTTCTATATATACAAGTGTTTAGCTGTGAAGGATTCATTTATTACCATCTATAAAATTTTGAATTTTAAAAGTGAACATAGTTGGTAGGGAGAAATTCCAGATGTAACAAGGTCTGGTTGGATGGGTTTGGCCTAGTGAAGTTATTGCACAGCATCTGTCTGCTTGTTAGGAATATAACATATTGTTATAAATTTGGATTTGATTAAACTATTGAATGATATAGAAATACAACATGTCTCCATTTTTTGGAGGGAGGGGAGTTTTCAAATGCACAGAAACACTGTACAGGGCTATATATACTTAATATACCTCTGTGTTTATTTCAGGTTGCTAAGGTTACAATGGAAGCAGAATATGGAGGAAGCCTGTAGTATGATTAAAAAAGCCTTAGAGGTAGATGATAAGTGTGAGTTTGCATACGAAACACTGGGAACCATAGAAGTCCAGAGGTAGGTGTCCACACAGTATATTATAGTATACAGATTTGGAACAAAGAAATTTGATCTAGTTTACTAATCGTAAACAATTTTAGGTTATTTAATCTATAATGTTTATTTGTCATATATGCATTTATGTGTTTGTTAGTATTTTTAGTAAATTTATCATTTGAGGTGTCATTAGGTATGCAAGTATTTTGCGTTTGAAGTTTGGTAATGCATGTTGTCCATTATTTTACAGGGGTAACCTTACAAATGCAATAGACCTGTTTAACAAGGCAATAAGCCTAGCAAAGACAGAAATGGAGATGGCTCACCTGTTTTCTCTATTGGATGCTGCAATGGCACAGTCAAAAGTAGCCCAAAACTTTGGAATTCAAGTGCCAACCATGGGACCCATGTAAAATTACAATTATAAAGTTGTATATTAGGATTTCAAGTCATGCTATGTGAAATATACTGCCAAAATGTAGTGAAATGCCAGGGATGGACTTGTCTTTTTTTTTTTTCAAACCAGTGTATACTTTTTGAGCTGCACTTTTGAGCTTATATTAAGTTCAGTCCTTCAAGACCAAGCATTTGTGGAATTTTGCTTCTCAGTTTGCCTGGACGAGTCTTCAAGATTTCATTATCTAAGTGTCTCAGACTAATGTCCAGTAAAAGTAGCATTCTTATCCCCAGAAGTGTGATACATACTGACAGCAAGTTGCAAAGAAGAGAAATTTTGGAAATTCACCATGGAAGCTGCTTTGTCATTTCCTTGTGTGTGATGTTTTTAGCCAGATTTAGAAACAGATACTCTCTTGAGAAACAAATGATGATTATCAAATCATTCCCACAATTTTTAATTTTTGTCACTCATGTTATTTTGCGTGAAAGACAAACGTATGAACAACATTAGAAGATTTAGACAGGATTATAGCTGAAGTTGAAGAAATGATAAAAGTTATGATCAGACACATTGACTTTTACAAGAATTGTGATGTGAGTTGTTTTGGAGGAGGTGGTGGGAAGACCTGCACCTCATTTCTTATCCTACAATTTTAAGATTTTTGATTGAAGTGGCACACTTGAGGTCTAGCCTCAAATTAACAGATGTGTGTACAAGAACACTGCCTCGAAACCATATCCTCTTTTCTTTTATTTTTTGTTAATTTTTTAAAAAAGTTTTTGCAAACTGTTTGTTTTTTAAAGTAAAACTATGCACACTGTATTTGAATACAGCTGGTTTTATTTGGTTTTTGTTGTATTTTCTAATATTTCAGTTGCACAGTTGCAAGACTTTCTCCAGTTTAGTCAATGTTAAATACATGATCTTTTTACCATATACTTCACATTGCGAATGACAAAAAGGTCTTATATACATGATTATTATAATACGTAGCAAATTCAAACCATACATCATTTTGCAGTTTTTAACATATTGATCACCTTGCTTGTTACTGTTTTATGTAATAGTAAAAATAAGGAGAAATCTTGTGATCATTTCAGAATTTTATTCATCCCAGTCACAATAAATTATATTTACCCTTGGTATTGTATTTCAGTGATGTAAACATGCTTCCTTGCATTGACATTGCACAAATGAGAAGCTGTATCATTGCAGTGATGTTACTGATCAGTGTTGATGTTTTCTGTAGAGCATGTCCACTGTCCATTTTTCTGTTTGGCATATGTTCAATTTAAATTATTAATATTTATTTTGAAAGACTGCTGTGAGAGATAAAAATACAAGCTATTTGATTGTGCTGCTTTTCTTGCAATTATGTTATCATAGCTCTAAAATATGAATGTCTTGGGTTCACATTTTAAGAACATTTCGCAGTAAAGAAATATCAATATTTAAATCCTTTTTGTAAATGGATTTCATAATATTTAGAGTTTCTACCAATGACTTTGGTAACTCCAGAGAATCATTGAGGATATAATGGCAGTTGAAACTCCTGGTGTGAGTGGGTTGTATGGTGTGCATTATGCATTGATGAAAAATAAGTGATGTACAAAATGATTTAATACATATTGTTGTACTTCATTTTTTGTTTGATATCTACTTCATTTTCCGTAGCCAAGTAAACTAATATTAATACCTTTGGTAAAGGTAAGGGGATACTTTTTAGCTTGGCTTGTTATGCACAGCAGCATGGTAATGTGTATAAAATGAGAAGTTTCAGGTTATAATAAAAATTCACATTTTTACCAATTTAACAGCAATTTAGCCTACCCAGACTTGTGAGATTTTTCTTTCTCTTAATCAGTTTAACAGCAGATTTAGGACATCCAGATATGTTTATGTGCTCGATGTTACAGTTATTATTTATTTTTTATTTATTTTTTAAAAAATAGATCCAGGTCAAAATAGAATGGTAGTATTTAGGATAAATTTCACATTTCCCAAAACTGGTTAGTTATGTGTATTATGCATTGCCTTTGACTTTACTGCACATAAATAAGAAATGGTTATTATGTACACAGTATCTTAATAAAGTATTGATTGAGACAACATAAAAATAATGAAGGCTTTTATTTTACTTTTCTTTAAAATAAAAATGTGTAATCAGCTCAATTTGTAAATTTTCAAAGATAAATCGCTAAACAATCTGATGCAATGCACCAGTTACTGAAAAAAATCCCAAGATACTGTTCTAACCATCCCAAACAATGACAGAAAGACAACTTTGAAGACATTAAACTGATGAATGACATTTATTAATAATCACATTTTCTTCATTATGCTACATGGTAACAGTGATCTGCATTCAATTCTGAACTAAAATACGTCCTCAGCACTGAAAGAGTTTAGAAGCTAGTCATTTCATTCTACTTTCAGTTAGTGCACCAGTATCCAGCTGCCCCCTCCTCCTTCCTGTGTCTTCAAAAGTATTATTCCAGTTGAAATTCATTCATTGACAATTCCAATAACACTTTAGTTACATTTTTATGTACAGACACAGATGTGTCTGTACATACTGCCATCACCTGCGTCTGTCGTCGCCGATGCCGATGCCGATGCTGGCGCCATGCACTTTCCTTGTTAACACGATAAGTGGAGGGCAATTTTACTTTTTGGCTTTATATTTACAGAGCTGACGAATATTCATAAAACGCAGCTCAAGTTCGAAAATCAGCATGATCGGGCCATTATTGTAGAATTTATGCTGTTTTTTTCACTTTTCAGCATATTTTAAAAATACATTCCGACTTTGGTAAATAAATATGTATGCCACTAGACTTTTCAAATCGCTCTGAAAAAGCATGACTCATTGATTTTTGATGTCACTCCAATTATTTACCAACTGACCAGTATAACACATCCCATAAGTTCTCACTTCATTGAGTTTTTCTTTACTTTCTGCACCTTTCTAGCAGATCCAGTTTGATTTTCCAACACCTCCTTTTTCCTCTTTTTCAAACCTCCACTTGACGCAGAAGTCAATTTCTGTACTGTCTTCTCAACTTCAGATGAAGTCAAAAGAGGCCTAGTTGCTTTAGTCTTCTTCGTTTTATTTTTAGAGACTGAGTTTTTAGTAGTATTACCTTTACCAGACAACTTGGTGGATTTGATTCCAGTGCTATCTGGAGTGGCAGTTCTTGATTTGGGGGTTTTAGGAGTTTTCCCTGGGGTGGCTCCAACCGACGAAGAGCGCACAGTCTTAGGGGGTGTAATAAATGTGATCTCATCCTCACTGCTATCTTCTTCTAAAATATGTACAGAATCTTGGTGTGGGTTGATCCAACCAACCTTCTTTTTTTCTTTGTACTAAAGCAGAAACAAATAAACAACTTTACATATTTCAAGTGGTTCAGAATAAACAATTACAATATCCTGAATAAAGATGAAATCTGTAGGCATGTTTACTGAAAAGGTTAATCATAATTTTGGTTTAACAAAAAAAAAAACACATCAGTTTTAAATATGCTGTATTTGTTTCCCTACAAAAATAAAATGTCCCAAATATCTCGTTGCTGAAATGAACTTTAGTATGGTTCTCATTTTGTCAACTGACTTTGGTCAACTGAATTAAAAAGGAAGAAAAATCTTCATCAAGCATTCATTAAATTGGTAAATAATGCTGAGATGTTTGTGTAGCACAATTTTAAGAAAGAAAATTGTTATCATTATTCATATTCCAAACTCACCAGTCCCTCAAAGCTATAGTCAATCCCCATTGCTGCTAACTTGGCAAGCTTTTTGTTGGTCCTTGTGTTAAGTTTTTTGATGGCACGCAATCTCTGCTTGGGAGTTGGCAGTTTGTTGTGGCGATCTCTGACTATGGCATGTGCCTTAGGGCGCTTGAACATTCTGCCACTGCCTATGAAGGTGTCTGGATGAACATCTTCCGAAGGACAAAATTTACCTGTTAACACATACTTGAGAAATGAGCAAACATGTAAAATACAACAAATGATAAATAAATATTATCATATTGTCAATCATTTAAAAATTCCAAATTGTTTTCTATTAAACAAGTACTTTTCTCAAAACAAGTGAAAAAAATTTTGTCAATTTACAAAAATCTACACTTATTGAATTTCTAATTGCTGTCTGTGAATATGTATTAATGCACATAAAAAATTAATTCAATGTGATGCAAATTTTACTAGACAAATTAAATAAGTTTTTTTCAAAAGTGTACAGATAGTGCCATGTTTTATAATTTTATTTTTGAAAACAGCAAACAATTCTGATCACCATTAAGCTAATGTCCCCTATTTTCATGTGTGTAACTTGTAAAAACTGAAAAGCCTGAATTCATAGATTACAATTTTTCATTGCAATTAGGCCATATGATAAAAACTATCAGAATGAAGACTGAAAATCCTGAAATCAGGCATAATCCTAAAAACTGTTGCCCATGTACTTACATTTCAGTAGCCTGTGGAACATGAGATAGTTGTTCATGGAGTCAGCCACAATTTTAGCCACCTCTTCACTCTCAAACTCTATGAAGGCATAGCCTTTGGGTCTACCAGTCTACAAAAAAGAAAATCACAAAGTTAAAAATCTATTTCACAAAATGACACAGATCAAAAGCCAAACTTAGAGAAAACTGGAATTTGTCTTTGAAAACCATGCTGCAATTAATAAGCAATAATTGTCTATACATTGTCTCTGTAACACACAACTCCAATAGGATTTTACCCATGTTCAGTTGAGTTAATTGGCAAATGCTTCAACCTAAGACAAAAATGATTTTCCCTTCAATGTGCATGACTAAGTTATCAATTAACTGATCTCTTCACTGCCCAAATGCTGGCCCATGAAATAACAAATCATTTGCAGGGGGAGTATAAATATCAAACTGACAACTAATACATCATATAACATTTGCTTCTCAAACCTTTTTGCTTCTGGATAGCTTGATCCTTTTAACTTTTCCAAACTGTGAGAAATATGACTTCATTTGGTGTTCAAAGAATCCTCTGGGTATGTGACCCACATATACCACGCCAGGCTGGTACAGCCCATGCTTAGTCTAGAGAAAAGACGCTGTACATAAGACTCAATAAAATAATATTTTTCATGAGCAAAAATGTTCATTAGCTTGGTTGTTGGATATACATGAAATTCTCAAACACAAGCCTCAATTTAAGCTTGTAAGCTAACGGTATGAAAAAAAATTGAGGCTTGCGTTTGAGAATTTCATGTATAATATTTTTCAGTTTGTGATACAACTTTTAATTTAAAAGTTTAATAGTATATATATAGTATCGGGAAAACCAATCTAAGGAGTTGACAAAAAAGGACTGGCCCTCAGATTATTTTTTTATTTTGTTATTTTCTTATTCCTTATCACTGGACTTGATCTGTACTAGTTGTACTTGAAGCAGCAAGTGCGGAGACAAACGTGAAACACAGCAGTGGTAGTGCTACTACTCCTAGTACACGTTCAATGAACATTTGTATGAAATACGAACAGATAAATTGAAGTAACGGCACGCATGTGTCCCAAACTCACCTTAGCTTTGAGTTCTTTAACCTTTTCTTGAAACACTTTCTGTTGATCGGAATCTAAGGCTAAATCTTGTTGCACGTGTGCTGTTTCCTTCTTTTTCGGAGCCATGTTGACGTTGGACCATGTGAGTAGAGGGTCATGGGTAATTTGAACAAATTTCGGCCTAAGATAAGAGTTACACTAAATGATACCGAAACTCTATATTTTTAATCTATTCAAACACAATATACGGATTTAATCTGACCTGAAATAACAACCAATTTCAGGAGTGAAAAAAGTTAATCGATATACTCTCAAAGCTATTCTCGACCCTCCGTGTTGTCGATAGATGTCTCTCTTATCGCCTGGCAACAACAAACAAAATGGCGAAGATCGTGCTAGCAGGTAGGATTATTTTGACTTCAGAAATGACTGCACAATTAACTGTTTAATGCAATGTACGCGAATATATTGTAGGCTTGTCATCAGAACGTTGATGAAAAAATGGAATGACGGGTTTCAATTGTTTGGTTTTCATAAACTGAACCTAGCAATGTCAAAAATTATTCACCGTTTCAGTTGCAATCAGAACGTTTTACATGAAGATAACAAATACATATTTGCAGTAATGTGCATTTGTGCTTTATGCTTCTTAATGCTAGATCTACGTTGCATTGCATATTCCTAATAAATAGTTACAAGTAAAATAATATGTAAAATTTAAGTTTTTTATGTTTAAATTGGCTCCAGGCGCGGCGAACTGCCCATACTTTGCCAGGTGTGAACTGCTTGCAGACACGTTAGCAGATAATTTGGAGGATTTCAAATTACACAAGATTGTCGTTCAGCCAGACAAATGGCAGGTAGGCTGTTCAATGTTGTTATAGAATGGGTTGATATATTGATGTAAAAATTTGAATGGTTGAAATTCTTTAAAAAATAATCAAATTACAACTGTACCTTAAAAATGACCTGTCACACTCAATAGTTACTGTATTGTAAAAGTATACGCAGAACATGTAGGGAGAGTAAGTGGTTGGAAAATAAGATGTTTTACTACATAATTCTTATGAGAAATTAATGGTTGGACGGTTAATTTCTTGTACCAATTGAATAACGATCCCTTTTTTTTTCTAGATCTCTCGCAAAAAAATAAATGCTCTGTTATTTAATTTCTTTAGAGCAATAAAATTAATCACAACCCTTAATGAACTAATACAATGCATACACCTTAATTTTCAGAATTGGTTGGAAAGTACCTGCAAAGAGCGGGGATTCATGCACAGTTCCTCTCCACTGGTATGGCGTGAACTGGTGGACAGAGGCGGCAAGGGGGTGTTGATAGGTGGCGCTAATGACTTCCAGGAGTATGCCTATGGTGAGTGTTTTCCTGTAAAATCATAATGTGTCAAAGAAACAATAGAATTATTTATTTATTTATTTATTCATTTATTGTTATTTGTACGGTATAATATTTTGAGTGATTTTAACATGCTGCCTGTTCATTTTAAAAGTTACAGCATCCCCAGCTTAATATTCTGTCTTTTCACTTTTGAAGGTTACTATGGCATAAAATCAGATTTTGTCAGTGATGACATGAAGAAAATAGGGGAAGAAAACTTGAAAGTCAAGATTGAAGTTGATAAAGAAGAGGAGGAATTTAGGTCAAGGTCACGTCCACTGAAAGTATGCATCACCAATGCCAGCTGCGATGTCTGCTACCATATGATAAGTAGTATTGGCCAAGGTGATGTGTTTGGGAAGGGGACAGAGATTTCACTACATTTGCTTGACACAGCAGAGAATATGGAATATTTAGAAGGTGTTCAAATGGAAGCTATTGATCTGGCACATGGGCTGTTACGCAAAGTTTCAGTGATGACAAATCCCAGGGAAGCTTTCATGGACTGCTCAGCCATCATTTTCTTGGACGATATTGTAAAAAGTGATGAGGAAAGTAAAGATGACTGGTATAAAAGAAACGCTGACTGTTTTACAAACTATGGCCACGTGTTGGATGAGGTTGCCAAAAAGAACGCCCGTGTGTTGGTGGCGGGAGAGGGCCCTGTGAACTTCAACACATTCATTCTCCATCAACATATTACCCAGATACCACGCCAGAATATCGTAGCGCTTTCCCGTATGGTTGAAAATCACGCGAAGGCCATCATTTCGGAACGGCTGAAAGTCAATTCTGCTGATGTGGTAGACATTATAGTATGGGGAAATGTAGGGGGGACAAGCTACGCTGATATGTCCCTCGCACGGACCCATAATTATGATGGCGCTATCTGGGGGCCACCTTTTTTCTCTCGATCTGCCGTTGAGCTTGTTCACGATAACAAGTGGCTGGAGAAGGAATTCCCAGAAGAACTTGCAGCCCGAGGGGAGATGGTTGGTAAGGCCTTGAGGAAAAAGCCGTCATTGTCCAAGGCGGCTGCAGTGGTCAGCCAGCTTGCTCACTGGTGGAATGGGTCCCCCAGTGGTCAGATGTGGTCAATGGGAGTGGCCTCTGAAGGTAGGGCTACCTTTCCTTTTTTTAAGTATAATTTATTGTAATCTGACGTTTTCTTGATAGCTTAATTATTAGGAAGAAACTGATGACATTCATTTGGTGATTCTTTCTTACCAATCTGTAGTCTAGTTTTCATTCTTTGAAAAGAACATCTTTGCTGAGGGACCTGCTGTGACACACTATAACATTGCCTACACCACTAATATGGCATTTCATTTGTGGGGGGTTGGCTGTCTCAAAGAGGAAATTTTATCCCAGACAACTGTGTCTCCTTCAAGACACTTTCATAGGGCAAAATTATACAGTAGTTTCATATATGCATTATATCTGTGCTTTTACAATGTCCCTTAGGGGAAATTCTTTTGTTTTTCAACATCCATATTTCCTAAAACCCACTAGTGTTATATTTAGCATTAGACTAGTCCACATTTTTGTTTCAGGTTGGTATGGTGTTCCAGAAGGTCTGGTGTTTTCCTTCCCTACTACCATGTCTCCCAAGGGTTACTGGAGTGTGATACAAGACATTGAACTCAGTGATGAAACCAAGGACAAAATACAAACAATAGTCAAGGTAAACATTGCAATATTATAAAGATAACAAAGAGGTGAATATGGAAAAACATTTTAAGTATTGAAACTAGCTAAGTTTATCTTTATTTTGAATATTAGAATTATATTTCCTATGTAAAATAAGCATTATGTAATTTTCATGGGGTGGCAGCAGTTATGGCTAAGATAGAAAAAAGTTCATGAACTTTTTTTACAAAAAAAATCACATTTGGCATTTAAGGGTATGCTTGGACAAAGGAACATACTTGTTATTACAGCACCATATATTTGCTCTCTGTTATTTGTCAAAAATAAGTGAAATAACATGATCTCCTCAAAATTGTATAAAAAAATAATCTGAATACTTCAGTGGCAAATTATATTTTATTTTACTTATTCAATCTACTGTTTCTACTTAATAGGAACTAATATCTGAAAAGGAAGTGATATACCCACCCCCCTATGTGCCACCCCCTACGCCCCCCAGTGACCCCACCCCTTTGCCCCCCACCCCCCAGGTGGAAGAGAAGAAAGAGGAGGAGGTGAAAACTGAAGGGACTAAAACTGGGGACTCCAGCAAAGGTATGGCAAAATGATTAAAAAAAGAAACAGATTTTATGTTAGCTTCACCAATTTTTTTATTCGGTTCCAACTTTTAAACTGCAATACATATTTACTGTTGCTGTTCCTTGTGTAAATAAAATGTTCAAACAAAAGAAAAAAAAAAGATTATTAGAATGTCTATCCCTTAATTTTTGTAAAGATAATTAAGACAATATTGTGCAATTATGTTTACAAAATGCAGTGTCTGATAAAACTGTATAAATTATTATTATTATTATTATTATTATTATTATTATTTAGATACTTCAGAGAGTGACACAGGTACCACCAGTGCCACAGACGGAGAGGACAATAGCGTTGACCCAGCCACTGGGCTGGCTAATATTATGGAGGATAAAGTTGGTGAGGAGCGTGAAGCCGTGCACGACACTGCCAAAGATGAGGCTGCAGAAGAATAGATAGCAGTGCAGTAGCTTAGTGATGGTCCATGCTTAAAAAAATTATTTTTTAGTGTGATAAATACATCGAACAGAGAATAAATATTACTTAAGATTACAAAGTTTGGCTGATTCCATAAACTCAGCAACAGTTGCAAGAGAAAATAGATGATAAAAACAATAAAACATTTCGAAACTGTAATGTTTATGCCATGATTTATTATCAAAAATGTCTGAGTTTATTTATCAAAGTGTATTAATCCTAGTTTGCAGGTTGGCAGACTCCAAAGTATTTATGTACACGAATGATGATGGCATAATAGTATCATCGTTACAGCGTATACTTGATCAAATTACAAAAGCATTTGATGAAAATTATACGTTAGTTTGGTTCAAAGAAGACTTTGGTCTGTTAAAAAAGAAACATTAAAATGAGTATCAGTATAATGTTCTGATTTCATTTTTGTAAAATTTGTAAATAAATAATTATTAAATGGATTTTTGGTATTAGTTTTAAAAGTAGGCAAATAAAAAAAATTAAATAATATGCATATTTTCAAAACCCAAACAAACACACACACACACTCTCTCCCTCTCTCTCTCTCTCTACCAAATGGCAATATGAAGAGTGGCTTTATTGTCTAAGACTGGGTTCCCATACTTAGATCGATCCATTTGGATTGACCTAACTCCCTGGGGGTTCACGCTAAATTGCTATCATTTCAAGAGGGAGTCGAGCGCGCACTAAAGTTAATTACCCCCTTACAACTTTTAGTAGGCGTGACAGACATTTAAGCCGGTTAAGCTGACAGCAATTTAGTGAGACTCCCCAGGGAGATAGATCGATCCAAATATCTGTGGGAATGGTCCCTAAGCAATATTTCCCTACTTCGGCCACTTATTTTCACACGTACCAAATCAAAATTACTGGGCACCTTTCAAAGGCAAAAAAGATTAACTTGGTACAAAACTGGGTTTCCTTACTTTCTGTGATTGGAAAATCAGTTAAAACTTTATCATTCTCTCCCTCAGTCACACGTACATATTAGCATACATATTAACGCACGCTCTCTCTCTCTTTCTACTATATGGACTGAGTTTTCCTTGGTCAGCATAATGCCGTTATCACCGAATTTCATCCTACACTAAAACACATGCAGAACGAACAGAAAGGAAATACGTTTTTAAATATCTCATTTAACACAAAACTGTTCCTCCTGTTTTTTTATCCTCATTTGCGTCGGTTCAATTTCTCACTCGTATGATCATCGGTTATTTTGTTATTGTTTCCAAGCAGTCCATGTGATCGTTAAAATTAATATTGACAAGATAGCAAGGATTGTTCCTTAATTAATAAGTGCTCTTCGTGGATGTTATCGGAGTTCACTTCTACTTAGACCACAGTCAAGTACATCACATGGGATTTAAACAGCTTTCTCGCTATCTTACGATCTAATAACAATCAATGTATATCTATACATATGTATTTCTATATTATATTATATTGAATATGTTATAGATTTGGTTATTACTTCAAGTTTGTCGCTTGGGCCACACGTTGCGATGATGGGTTATCTTATTTATTGCTATTATCTGTTGTTTGCAATTGCCTTCGTATTTCAAGGTATGTAAATATTTTGTCTAGAATCTTTTGTTGGTCGGTTCATTGCCTATGTATTATATTCAAACTTTGTAAAATTTAGGACTAAAAGACGGCATATTTTTAACATTTAACATTTTATAACCCTATGTCAAAGTGGAGACTTGTTAAGTCTTGTGCCGGAGTAAAGTTAAAGAAAAAAAATGGTTTTAACTTGCAATAGTTAAGTGGAATTTTTAAAAATCTTTTGAGACCAAGAGAGCCAAAGCCAACGCAGACCTGTTTCTTAACTGCCCAATTTTCCAATTACCATATATATACAGACCTGAAACTCAGGGTATAGGTCAAATAGAATTAGTTAGGGTTTTTTAAAGTAAACACTGAGAGCGCGCATATGCAAATTAGAGCCGAAACCGTGTGCTGTGAATCTCTTTTGAATAATTTTACCCGGCAAGTCTAATTAAATTACAATGGCACATATGAAAAAATTTCTAGAACTCTTATTTTTACTCATGGGTCCCTTAATCTAGAATGTCATTAAAATCCGTCATCGAGAAATATATTTTTTGTCCACATCAGAGAATATTTAAGACAGCAGTAGTAACTAGGGTATCTAACCAGACCCGAGTGGGTCTACATTCACAACTATTTTAGCTGATTATCTTTCCGTGCGAGTTAATTCATTATTCGCCTTCCTTAAAATTGTCCGTCAGAATACACAATCTCGATAAGGTATGATGCCTTGCCCTGTTCGCTGATAGGACGACTTGCACATAGAATAACGCGACAATACTATACAAATATTGACTTTGGGGGAAGTCATCACAGGGATTTATTCACCCGAAGTTAGGATATTTTTATGTGATGTCCAGTTGTAAAGCGGTTATAAAACGAACTTATTCACTTAAAAGGTTTTCGATTATGACTTAGTTGTTTTAACGTTGTTGAGGTCTTGTTAGGTTATCAGACTATTGATAAACCTTATAGATTTGAATTAATCCTATTTAGATATTTGAACAACTTCCGAAGTTTTATGTCCAAATATATTTATTTGTCTATGTAAATGACAAATTGTTATTCTGTTCACTTGTTTCAAGCAACAAATATTTAGTACTAGAGGCTGTCTCAATGATTTTTCAGTTCCCATGTACATCTCGATAAATAAGGCACAGTAGTTTAAGGTAACATTTACAAATGTGTTATCAATCAACAATAGGTGATTCGGCAGCTTATATTAGACTACATATCAATATTAATCTCATCCTTCATACAACTTTAATAGAACGCTCTTATCTCAAGTTTATACCCGAACAAGGGAATGGCGATAAGACGAAGATATAAATTCGTATGTGATGTGCATGTCCGTAGATACATTGATTGACTTCGGAGCTACAGCGTTCAAGGCTGATTGAACATTTGCGATTTCTCAGCATTAACCTTTTATCAGAAATTTATACTGAAGGCACCTGTTGGATAATCGGATACCACTTCCCCCCCCCCCCCCCCCCAATTCATTAAGGCCCGCTGAAAAACTTCATGTTATTCACGTGTGCCGTTTCTTTGTAGTGGTTAAAAACAATTTATAGTCTTGGAAGGGGGGGTTGGGCTTTTTCAAAATCTGAGATAGTAATCTTTAAGTAATATATTAATTGGTTCAATCCTCAGTATTATATATATTGATACCGACGTAAGATATTGAGTATGATTCATTATTCGCTAGCCGGTGATGTTCGCTAACCGTTTAACAATGTTAATTAGCTGGGCCTTTCAATTGCCTGATATGAGGACAATGCTGTGATGGCCGTTACCCAGTGTACTGTGTTGTGTTGAGATACTTATCTCTGTACCATTCAGTAATATTTCTCTCCTTGTCACGTATTTCCCCGCATACCCGAATCGCTTGGTGCTACTAACAATTTCTGCTCGGACACAAAAACGAGGGAGAAGTTCACTTTATCTATCTCATTTTTTTATTTTGATTTTTATTCGACATATGGAAAACAGATTAGGGAAAACAGATTTGCCTTTCAAGAAAAATAAAAAAATACAAATTAATTAATTCGTCTTGGATGTAGGCAAATTTGCATCTAGCGGTAATGTTGGGATTCCGTCCGACCACGGGTTGAGACTAGCAGTGGGTAATGCATCATCAACGACTACACCCATGGCGCTGGAATGCCCGAAGGTTTACGGATGGAAAGAAGTTGGAGATTTCTGTTACAAGGTTGGTGTGTGCGAAAAAGGGACTAATTTTATAAAATTTAAAAGTGTACTAAAATTTTGATAAATTTCTCCAGGCTATAAGATACTGTTTGACTTGGTATGTTATTCTTGATCATTTAGATTTGTTTTATAGAGCGGACTAAAACAAGGACGAACAAGACAATTTAAACGGTTTTACTTTTTAATGTATTATAGCGGGAACGTATGTACGGTGACAACAAACTAACATGGTTCGAGGCTCGAGACTTCTGCCGGGCGATAGGGGGCGATCTTGCCAGCTTTCACAGCATTGAACAGTTTGGAAACGGCACTGACGTCACATCGTATACGTAAGGGAGCAAGCACAAGACTTGTGGCTTAATTTTTTAACTTTTGGCCCATATTCACTTACTTAATCGTGCTGTATCAGATAGACTTATATTCAACAAGTGTTTACTCCTATACATTGTAAAGATTTTGTTGAAAGGTAACAACCGTAGTGTTTTGCAAACAATCTAGACCTTTTCCTATCAGATGAAAAGTTTCGAACTGACATCATTGTATCAATATATGCTTTTAATACTGACTCTTAAATTGGATTCAAGTTTTTAAAGCTACTTCCCAAGTTACTTGCTCAATTTTTTCTTCACCTTCAAAATATGTTATGCACTCAAATATTGGGTATCACTCAGTGTAATTGCTTTGGTTGGCTAATATGTGCATGATAAGAAATATCGAATCTCCAATCATCTTTCAGAAATAGCTACGACTTATATTGGATCGGATTGTCGATGCCAGACCAAAGTGGTCGCTATGCTTGGTCGGACAATTCGATAGTGGACTTTACTAACTGGGGAAAAGGGGAACCAAATGACGTCAACGGGCAGGAAAAGTGCGTTTTATTTAACCGCCACGGCGGAAAGTGGAATGACGCCAATTGCTACTCAAGGAGAAGCGTTTTGTGTCAACTGAAGAAAGGTAGGCTCCAACTGAAAGGAAATGTTTACTTTCATCGTTGTACTTCAATGTAAAATTTTACTTTGGTCTCGTGATAAATCCCTCTCTCTTAAAAGATTTTTGAACAAAAAGATGCCCATTGCCCCATCAACATTTCATTTTTTATTTCTAGGCACAGCTTGTTAGGTATCTAGAAAACTTAAAATCGTCCCATGTGAGACCTGGGCACCCTTAATAAGCACCTTTCGTTGTCCAGTAGCATTTTCTCATCTCATTTATTATGTAATTGCTTCAGGCGATCCCCTGTTGTCAACTGCACGCACAGTGTCACCTACACCAAGTAAGTTATATGTCAATGCTTTGGCATTTTACCGTGCATTGTCTGTAGAAGTTATTGCCAAACAGGCCAGTCGCATACTATGGACATGTTGGAACTATATTTTATTCACTTGGTCCTATTGATATTTCGCAAAAGATGATGGATTTGCGATTTTCATATGCATCTAATACTCTACTGTTGAAAAAACTGAAATAAATAAGCGGTCTTGCTTTTGGCAAGGCAATCAAATGGAAACTAACAGGAGATTCTTTTGACAAATTGGGTCCCTTTGTGTTAACGCATAAGATGTACGATATTTTTTTTCATTTTTGAACTGCAGTACGTATCGCTAGGATCTGTTGTTTTAAGTTACGATCTGTTGTTTTAAATTAAAAGCCCGCGTTTTACTATAATGACCGGGTGTTTTTAGATCCGTTGAGATTTTCTTATGATCCGGTGTTCCCGCCATAAAGGTCCGGTATATGTATATATGATTTTCATTATAAGTGTTTATCGTTTAGATCCACACTGTGATCCAACCTGGCACTCCTATGGAGAGTACTGCTATTTCCTCAGCCCCAAATACGGCGTGGATGCCACGAAGTCTTGGTACGAGGCCAGAGAGTACTGTATGCAGAACGCGGGGGACCTGGTCAGCATACATAACACTAATGAGAGCAACTTTTTAGTGCAGCAGGTTTGGTGATTTTCTTTTCCTTTTAAATCTTTGAATTCTTTCTGTGTTTTTTTTCCTATCCATTCCCTGTTCCTATCAGAATTCGTGGTTGGAAAGAAGTCCTGTTCATTTAGTAAAATTAATGACGTCATTAAAATGTGCCCGTTGAAGAGTATCTATGTACTGGTTTTATAAGGGTATAGGATACTTTACTTCAACATATTCGGTAAAACCAAGATTCGTATTTTTTTAATTTATTGCTTTCAAACTGGCATTGCTTGGCTTACATCATACTTTTCTTTTCCTCATTTTTTCTTGCAAAAAGAGTGGGGAATTGGCTGTAGGATAAACAACTATAGGCCATTTGAATACTATTTTCTTGCTACATATAAACCATTTCTATTATACCTCTATCCAGATTGGAAAGACCAGTGTCTACAAATACTGGATAGGCTTAAACGAACTGGACTTGGAAAGCTACAAGTAAGATTCATATTTCAATGCGCATTCGTAAATCAGATGTCTGTCTTTTTATTTATTTATAAACCACCAAATCTGACTTACAATATTCTTATGTATAACATACACGGTTGCTTCTTCATTTTTTATTCCGTTTGCATGTTTGTATGCATAACTATGTTATGCCTTCAAACATAGATTTCATCAACTTGAATAAAAACGTACAATGTATTGTTATTGTACTTTACAGATAGGTTATTATTTTTCCTTTCCGTAAGTATCAATTCTTGAATGCGTAAAGAAGTAGAGATTTAGCCGGTGTAATATTTATAATTTGCATGGCGTTCAATTCTGATTGATCACGGACGCCCAAAACAATTCATGCCTTTGACTTTAATTTAATTTTATTATTTAATTCAGTAAACGACCAGCTATTTTATGAAATATTAATGAATCTTTCCTCAGATGGTCAGATGGAACTGTCACTGATTTCATAGCATGGGGACCTGATGAACCCAACGACTACAACGGAGGCCAGAAATGTGTCGACATCGTCACTGACTCAGGTACATGCTGGTCTTGATTTCCAGGAATTTTTATTTAACTCGTTTTTTATTTAGAAGAGACCTCTATTTTTGTTGAGCTACCTTCCACTTCACAAATTTTTTATCCTTAAGTATTCATCCTCGAATCCTCATTAATCTGTTTTGATAAGTGTACCTAAAAACAATTCGAGGTGATTTCTGCATTTGAAAAATGTAATGACTACGCATAAAAGGTATATATCACACACAGTAGTATAGTAAGTACAGTAGATAGCCCTTGTTTGTCGACAAAGAGACGCAAGTCAATTTTGGTTGTCGAACTTTTGGCGAACGCTGTAAAAAGACAGCGAGGTGACTTCCATATACGAGGAAATTGCGCATCCTGACCGACAATCAATAATCCTTAAGCATTTTACAAGTCTAGCTTTGGAGCTGACAAATTACCTTAGTTCAACGTTGGGCAATGTTCAAATTATATTATGTGAAAGCTACTAACATTTATGAATACAGGACATTGGAATGACGACAACTGTGGCGAACGGGTAAATTTCATCTGCAAAAAGCATCGGGACAGCAGGACAACGGTGACTCCGTCCCCAACACCGACCATTCAAGGCGGATGTCCACCCGGATTCCAGGGAGTAGGTCAGTACATATACTTCACGTTTCCGTTGATAAAGCTAGCTGTGGATGATGTGCCCTGACATTTAGAGTGTTATGCAACACGGGACTATTACCCGCTAAGATTGCTACCATTTAGATGTATAGTTTCTACCGTATGACCTTGCACTGAAATAACTCGAACACATTGGAATACTTGGCATCGTCAGGTGGATCAAACATATCAAACAAGGTTGAGAAGAGCATATATTTACTGTCCTCCCCACCAGAGTTGTACGAGTCTATGGCATTTGTCAGATAATCATGAATGTATTACATTCTTGGTAAAGTGTTTATAAAACTTAGATCACGGTGGAAGTGAAGAACAAAAGACTCAGACGTGGTGTAACTCGCATAACCGCACGTCTCGCATGAATGCGTTATAACCCTCTGATGGACCCGTGGTCTAAATAAGATACATCCCTCGTCAGCGAGGGTTATGTGACATCCACTCGTGCTACGCACTCGTGTATGCCACATAACCCTCGCTGACTCGGGGTCTATCTATTACAAACCTGTGCTCGTCTCGGCTTGTGCTTTTACCCCTTTATGGGAAGGCGCAATGGCTGAAAATTAGATAGCCTAATTAAGAGACTCGTTTCCCATGTGTTCATGAGCACAAAAACGTGCTCAGATGTGACATGATGTTGGCCCACGACTTCAAACCAAGTGCTAAGCCCATAAAGAAAGTATTGTCGCAGTTAGGTAATAGATAGACCCCGAGTCAGCGAGGGTTATGTGGCATACACGAGTGGATGTCACATAACCCTCGCTGACGAGGGATCTATCTTATTTAGACCACGGGTCCATTAGCGGGTTATAACGCATTCATGCGAGATGTGCGGTTATGCGAGTTACACCACGTCTGAATCTTTTGTTCTTCACTTCCACCGTGGTCTAAACAAAAATGGAATGAAACATCACTGATACATATTTCGAATGTATGTTCCCATAAATAAAGCATTGGTTGTTGTTTGTTAAAAAGACATCATCTTCTTTCATTATTCTCTAGGAAACAGATGTTATAAAGCATTTGGTGATAGATCAGATCCAAGAAGCTTGAAGAATTGGACAGAAGCAGTTGATGAGTGTTCTGCGCTGAACAAAAAGTACACACTTGCCAGTATTACCAACCATATCGAAGAAGGTATATTCATTTCAATATAAACCATGTGGTAGAGGGCATTAGGTAACTTCATTTCATGATAAATTTACCGGTTGAGGAATTGGACCGAGTTGTTTATCTTCTGTGAATAATAATGACACGACATCTAAGATTTCCCCAACCATTTACAATGGTACAGTTAAGAAAATTTCCCCTTCGAATGAGTAAAATGGCATACACTTTAGGAAACGCGTGTACTTTTTGGCTAAGTAACAAACGTGTTAGGGTTATAATATCACTACCCCGTGACTAAAAAAAAAAAAAAACGTTCAAAAGCACTTGGCCAAACCAACGAGAAGGACACGTTTACGGAGAGCGAACAGATTAAAATAGGAATTTCCTCACATGCCGTTTTCTTAATTACAGCATTTGTGACGACACTCATGACGGGGAAAACTGTCAACTTTTGGATCGGTCTCAACAAAATCTTACGGCATTTTCAGTGGGTGGACAACTCGCACGTGGACTTCGTATCTTGGGACCACGGGGAACCAAATGGGGCCTCTAGCGGAGACGATAAGGTAAATCTTCCATGCCGCCATAATATAATATAATATAATATAATATAATATAATATAATATAATATATCAGGTGTATATAGGCAAGTGAAGCCTAGGTCCTGATGATCTCATAAGACGAACAAGTACACTGCGTTTGCATGTAAAATCCAATAGCTACCTGCATTTTCACAGCAAGTGAAAGCACATACGCGCCTTCATTATTTGCAAGTAAGGTAATATGGTTTGTGTTATAATATAAATTACGTCGTTTAGATTAGACAAGGATAACATGAGATTACAAAACATACTTACTCTTAAACCAAAACTTCAAATGACAGACCCCAAGTCAGACATGAAAACCGTCTGCTAAATTATTTTTTCGTTTATTGCCGTGGTATAACCCGAGACCCGGACAAATTAGCCTCATGCTGAACTGTTCGCCATGTTGTCCTTCTTCTGTAGACTGGCAATTCCATTTTTTTCCTGTTCTCTCCAGGCGGACTGCACCAGCGTTGTTTCAAGTGGAACAGGTGCTGGGAGATGGCGCGATGAGAAATGCAAGCTACGAATGGGTTACATCTGCCAGACTTGGAGAGGTATATGTACCTGCACTTCTAGTTGTGGTTGTGGTTGTGGTATAACCAGCCCGCTCATATAATAAAATCGTACATAGAAAAAACCTGGGCAGAAATTCAGGTCTAGTCCGTTTGCGTAATTATTAACTGAAAGTAGAATTTATCAGGCCCGTAGCCAGGGGGGGGGGGGGGGGGGGTT